AGGCGCCACAAGCTTCCCTCAGGTCATCACCACCGCAGCTTCTTTCAACCAGTCTCTATGGGAAGAGATCGGACGGGTGAGGATAATAAATTAATGAATTTCTTTGCTTTAAAAAATATAGTTTTAAAAATGAGAATTAGTATTAAATTTTATGAATTCTCTACGTGAAAAAACGACATGGACATCGACATCGTAGATATCATACACTAGTGGTATATTATATTTATTATTCTTGGAAAAATTATAATTCACATGAGTTTTAGCGGACTACGACATGAGTCTATCGAATAAGTCAGAAAAAGTAAGTTAGAAAAAATCCAAAACCGATATACAATTTTACTTTAGATATCAAGTCCAAAACATATATATTTTCATAATTTTTTGTTTATGTTACGTATAAAATACATATGTTATATATACGTATTGTCTGCCAAAGTTAATAATTCATACGATGATGGGCAAGCTAGCTATAACCAGTGAATATATATAAAAATGAATAATTTTATTTATTTATTATAAGGTGTAAATATAAAGAATATTTATTTCTTTCAACAAAAGCAAAAAGTATATGGAGAATAATATATTAGAATTAACACAATTTATAATGAATAAAAGGTGGTGTCTGATGAGGCAAGAGCTATGTACAATGGAGGAGTGGCCGGTTTAACTTATTGGAGTCCAAATGTGAATATATTGAGAGATCCACGTTGGGGCCGAGGCCAAGAAACTCCCGGTGAAGATCCCGTCGTCGCCGGGAAATACGCCGCCAGCTACGTCCGGGGACTTCAGGGTACCGCCGCCGGTAACCGCCTTAAAGTCGCCGCATGTTGCAAACATTATACCGCTTATGATCTTGATAATTGGAATGGCGTCGACCGTTTTCATTTCAACGCTAAGGTAAAATCTTATTCACATTTGGTAACTTATATCTAATTAATCTGTTTATTTGAAATTTTGAAAAATGCTAAAATTCTTTAAAATTTAGATATTGGATATTATCTTTAAAATTTGTGTGGGAATAATGAAAGAGAACTTGTGAGTCTCTCTATATTATTCTTACAATTTAAGTGGTTTTATTTCCATTTTCTTTTTCAAGATATAAAAGAACAAAAGATAGAATTATTTACTAGTTTAAACTTATAAATATACTTTCTCGAATTAGAAAGCTCTACTTTATGTCGTTTTCTATGATTTATAACTCCACGTAACGAATTAGATGTGACATAATATGCGTTTTCGTGTTATGCGTTATGGCCTATCGTCTTTTATCTAGTTTCGTAACTAAAAATTCAGAAGATAGCTTAAATCAAGATATATCTCCATCGTTAGTCATTAGTTTATTTATAGTTCCGTCCAATATGCGTCACTTCGCAATCTTGCAAAAGACTTTTATATATTTGCTTCATCCGACTCAATTTGAAATGTATTATCAAACAAGTAAAATATGTATAGATTTGTATGCATGTCACAGTCAGATACAAACAAAACATTTGCCTAATATATAACAGCTAGCAAATTAAGCCAATAGACAGCGTGACTGAGTGATGTGTCATATGCATAGTCTTATTCTTATATATGTAATATTGGTGGAGAATCTTATCCCTTATTGGTTCTTGTGGACCAACTTGGCCCAAGCTCCTTTTCTTTTATCTTGTTCATCCATATACATATATTATTTTTTAAAAAGATTCGTTTCTCATGCATAGATAATTCAAAACATAAACCATCTAAACAAAATTTCATTATTGATATGTATAAGTCAAGACAATAGTATTCTTTTGTTATTATAGATAGCTAAATAGGTGCATGGTTGGTCCAAATGGTCCTAAGGTTTTTGGACCTCAAACCTATAAGAAATTTGTGATCCATAAATATCACACAAGTAAATGAATAAAATTTTGATTTTAGGATTAGTATCTTTAAACTAATTATATCATTTACTAAAATAATAACAAATGTTTGCTAAATTTTCTCTTACAAGAATGTGTTTACTTATGAAATTTTTGATGGATTTAATTAGGTGACCCAACAAGATTTAGAGGACACGTACAATGTGCCATTTAGATCATGTGTTAGTGAAGGAAAGGTCGCAAGTGTTATGTGCTCTTACAACCAAGTTAATGGAAAGCCCACATGTGCTGATGAAGATCTCTTAAAGAACACTATTCGTGGTCAATGGCGTCTCAATGGGTAAGTTTTAATAGTCTACACAATATTCAACATTTCATATAAATTTGACTCATACACTAATAATAATAATGGTATCAATGCATACGTATGTATATAGGTACATTGTCTCAGATTGTGACTCTGTTGATGTTTTCTTCAACCAACAACATTACACCAACACTCCTGAAGAAGCAGCCGCGGCCTCTATTAAAGCCGGTGAGTTGTTTTTCCTCTACCGTTTGCATATGAACCGTCTGATTAGTTTTGATATATTAAAACATCGTGTCGTTTTTCAGGTTTGGACTTGGACTGCGGGCCGTTTTTAGCGATTTTCACGGAAGGTGCGGTGAAGAAAGGATTGTTAACAGAGAATGACATTAATCTAGCTCTTGCTAATACATTAACGGTCCAGATGAGACTTGGTATGTTTGATGGCAATCTTGGGCCTTACGCTAATCTAGGGCCAAGAGATGTTTGTACTCCGGCTCATAAACATTTAGCCCTTGAAGCGGCTCATCAAGGAATTGTTCTTCTCAAAAACTCTGGTCGCTCTCTTCCACTCTCCCCTAGGCGCCACCGCACTGTAGCTGTGATCGGACCAAACTCCGACGTCACGGAGACTATGATCGGAAACTATGCGGGGAAAGCATGCTCCTATACGACACCGTTACAGGGAATCTCAAGATACGCTAGGACACTTCACCAAGCTGGTTGTGCCGGCGTGGCTTGCAAAGGAAACCAAGGATTTGGTGCTGCTGAGGCTGCAGCGCGTCAAGCCGATGCCACGGTTCTTGTGATGGGATTAGATCAGTCCATAGAGGCGGAGACACGAGATCGAACAGGGCTGCTTTTACCAGGGTTCCAACAAGACCTAGTGACCCGTGTGGCTCAAGCTTCTAGAGGTCCAGTCATTTTGGTCCTTATGAGTGGTGGACCAATCGATGTAACCTTCGCTAAGAATGATCCACGTGTTGCTGCCATCATATGGGCCGGGTATCCGGGTCAAGCGGGTGGAGCTGCCATCGCCAATATCATCTTTGGTGCTGCTAATCCCGGTACGTAGCTCATAATGAGATGATTTCTTATAAACCAAAGTATTTAGCTTTTTTGATTAGTAACATTCGATATTTTTATATAGGAGGAAAGCTACCAATGACATGGTATCCACAAGACTATGTGGCCAAAGTGCCAATGACGGTAATGGCCATGAGAGCATCTGGAAATTACCCAGGAAGGACTTACAGATTCTACAAAGGCCCAGTGGTATTCCCATTTGGGTTCGGTTTAAGTTACACTACCTTCACTCACAGTTTAGCCAAAAGCCCATTGGCCCAACTATCAGTTTCACTCTCCAATCTCAACTCTGCCAACGCCATTCTCAACTCTTCATCACACTCCATCAAAGTGTCTCACACCAACTGCAACTCATTCCCGAAAATGCCACTCCATGTCGAAGTATCGAACACCGGTGAATTCGACGGAACACACACGGTCTTCGTCTTCGCCGAGCCGCCTAAAAACGGAATAAAAGGATTAGGTGTTAACAAACAATTGGTAACGTTTGAAAAGGTTCATGTCACGGCAGGGGCGAAACAGACCGTTCAGATAAATGTTGATGCTTGCAAGCATCTTGGTGTGGTGGATGAGTATGGTAAGAGGAGAATCCCAATGGGTGAACATAAGCTTCACATTGGTGACCTTAAACATACCATTTTAGTCCAACCGCAACTTTAGCGAGGGATGGCATATAAAAAAACAAGAAACAACAAATACGGTCGGAAACTATATGATCTTAACGAAGTGAAGTGTTTCTCTTCTTATTTCTATTATTATATATATATAGAGAGATAGGTTTATTTTCTTGTGAAAATTAAATACTCGAGTTAAGTATGAAATTTGTAAAGAAGCCACCAAAGGGTTGCTTCTTGGATGTATGTTTTTATTTTTTTCTTGGACCTAAAGTTATTGTAACTTGTGGCTCCCAACATAAAGAAATACAAGGAGCCCTTGTAAAATGTTGAAACTAAAGATAAATGAAAATAAATGTTAAAATTAATATACAATAGTGGATCTTCTAGAATAGCATGGCTGAAAATAGTAAGAATCATTTCTTGTCGGATACTAATTTTAGCTGTCGTAAACTTAATTACTAAATTCATTAACCTTGAATTCTCTGATGTTCGTAAATCTTGACTATATGAAACTGATAAGGGTTAGAAAAAACACACAATACTCTGTTTATGGAAAAAAAAAAAGATTAAAAATATAATAAGTCGTCAAGTCCGATGTCACATATTGGATATAGCTTAGTTGTGTGTTTGTGTTTTTTGTATTTGTATGTTTCTGTCTAGCTATATATTAGACATTTGGGCATAAAGTCGCAAATGACTCACTGCAGCTTTATAGGTTCATGGAATGGTGTTAAAAAGGTTGGTGTGGTGGATGAGAATCCATTCGTATCTGAGATCCCTTTTAGGTTTGGTTTGAATATGTATTCAAGTTTTTGTTTTTGTTTGGTTTGAAATCTGTATTTAAGCTAGTTTTGTAAATGCTTTCAAGATCCTTCTTTGTTTGAGATCACTTTTAGGTTTGAATTAACTTTTCTTCCTAATATGGTTTAATTTCATGGCAGTCAATAAATGGTTTACAATAGGCAAAGTAAAAAAACATAGAGGGGGTTGGTGATGACTTGTACTCAACTGTTACAAAATTTCTCCTTTGTATATTTTCTAAACCTCTACAAGAAACTTTAAACTTTATTTGCTTGCTTGCACCACAAGTCTTAATATTTTCTAGAAACACCTAAACTAGAATTATATAAGATGGATTTATAATTCTTGTGAACTCTCTTAACCATGGCGTTTTCATTTACTAGAGAGCTCCCGATCTCAGTCACGCTTATCTTTATTTTCTTCCTCTTAGTCTCCTTCCCAGGTTTGTTGTCACGCATGTATATTACTTGTTTAGCAAGCTTTTGATTAGTTACTTCACTTAAGAATCAATGTCAATTTTACAGGGAGTACTCACAGTGAAGAAGACGATTCAGAGACAGGGGGTGCAGGTGGAGGAGTTGGCGGTGGCGGGACAGGATTTGGAGGTGGTGGGTCAGGTGTGGGAGGCGGAGGGACAGGTGTGGGAGGCGGAGGGACAGGTACTGGTATTGGATTTAACGGCGGAGGGACAGGTTTTGGGGGAGGAGGATCGGGTGCTAGTGGCAGTGGTGTAGGAGGTGCAGGAGGATTAGGTGGTGGCGGTAGTAACGGAGGCTTTGGAGGAGGAGGATTTGGTGGAGGCGGTGGTAACGGAGGCTTTGGTGGAGGCGGTGGTAACGGAGGCTTTGGAGGAGGAGGATTAGGCGGCGGTGGAGGTGTAGGTGGGGAAGATCCACCGGAGATAGTTGCCAAAGCTTTGGAATGCTTAAATGAGAAACATGTACTTAGAATATGAAAAGTCATTTACTTGCAATACAAGAAACCACTACTAACTAGTTCAAAATTGAAAACTAAACAAAACTTCCAAATAAAAAATAATGTAGATATACAGAGAATGTGAAGAAACATGGAGGCTAACGTTAACCGGAGACCTAAATATTCCGGTGGGTAGAACAGAAGAGTTCTGCCAAGGACCATGCTTCTCCGAGACACATTTGGCTTTGAACTGCATTGAAGACATCATTCACCACTACAGATTCTTTAACAGAGCCACCATCCACGACATCCGTGAAACCCTTAAGTCCGGTTGCAGCTACGGACCTGAACGAGGTTTCTGATTCTAAAGATCAGTTCTTGAGATCTAGTTTAGACTGGTTATTTCTGGTTTAATGATAACGTTAAATAATGTATGCATGCAGGTGATTTCAATGTTCTAGAGCATATTGAAGATGAAGAAGAAAATGGAAGTGAGAAGATGATGAAGTCAAGATTTGGGTCTTTGTTACTTGGGGCTGTTTTGTTCACCATTGCCTTGCTTATCTAAAACCTTTCTTATAGCTATATGCTTATTTAACTCTTTACAATAGATATAAACCAACCTCTTTGTATACTTTACATGTATACTTTACATTTAAAGAGTGCTTATAAAACCTTACGTTCTAACTTTTAAGTTTGTTAAATTTGATGTTATGCAAACTTAAACACAGTAAAAAGATAATATAGTTTGCAACTGTTGGATCTTTTTTGCCCTCCAAAGAGATGAGATTATAATTGTTTCTTGATTCCCACGAAAACAGAGAAGAAGACGAAGAACAAGATCGTCGACGTTTAACAATGGCGAATCTTAAGAATCTCTTCCTCATCACGAAACACCCATCAACAACACAGATCTTCTTCACGTCTCTCTTCTTCGTCTCTCTCTTCCTCCTCTCTTCTTCATCTCTCTCAGACTTCTCTCCATCACTCATCGTCTCAAGCTTCACCTCTCGTCTTCTCACAGCAGCAAACTTCTTCTCTCCCTCTTCTTCTTCTACTTCAACCGCTTCAGACACGACTACGTTCCTATCCTCTGTTTCGCACAGAAGAGTCCGAATCAAGAACGAGTCAAAGATCGATCCCGTAACCAAAGAACTCACTTCTTGCGACATTTTTGATGGGACTTGGGTCTTCGACGATTCTGAACCGGTTTATTCACCTGGTTATTGTCCTTACGTTGAAGATAAGTTCAACTGCTACAAGAATGGTCGACCTGATTCGGGTTTTCTCCGTCATCGATGGCAACCTCATGGATGCTCGATTCCAAGGTTCAGTTCTTGTTCTTCGAGTTAATTACGATTCTGCCATTCCCATTTCGTGACTCTGTTTTTATGAGATTGTTTCTCTGTATTGCGTTTGTTAGATTCGATGGGAAGAAGATGCTGAAGATTCTAAGAGGGAAAAGAGTAGTTTTTGTTGGTGATTCATTGAATAGAAACATGTGGGAGTCTTTGGTTTGTTCACTTAGGTCAACATTGGAAGACAAAAACAGAGTTTCTAAGGTTTCAGGAAAACAGAGTAATCTCCACAACGAAGGCTTTTACGGTTTCAGGTTCAAAGTAAGTGTATCACAGAACATTGGTCTTTGGAACGTTTTATCTTGAGTGTGATGGAGTTTGATGTTTTGGTTTAGGACTTTGACTGTTCTGTTGACTTCATCAAGTCACCATTCCTCGTTCAAGAATCTGAAGTTTTAGATGTATACGGGAAGAGAAGAGAGACACTGAGGCTTGATATGGTACAAAGATCGATGACGAAGATTTACAAAAACGCAGACATTGTTATATTTAACACAGGTCACTGGTGGACTCACCAGAAAACTAACGAAGGGTATGAAACTATGAACTGAACCTTTCCTCTTAGTTCTTATTCATATCTGAGTTAACATGTTTCTTTGGATATATAGGAAAGGATATTTCCAGGAGGGAAAGCGAGTTTACGAAAGATTAGAAGTGAAAGAAGCTTACACAAAAGCTCTACATACATGGGCTGATTGGGTTGATTCCAATATCAACAGTACCAAAACCAGAGTCTTCTTTGTTGGTTACTCCTCTTCACATTTTAGGTATAGAATAGCTTTCTTTCAGTCCAAGCAATCTATATTAGGGTGTAGATATATTTGGTTTTGACTCTGAGTTTGAACTGCAGAAAGGGGGCGTGGAACAACGGAGGACAATGCGATGGAGAAACAAGACCGATACAGAACGAGACGTACACAGGAGTGTATCCATGGATGATGAAAGTGGTCGAATCAGTAATCTCTGATATGAAAACGCCTGTGTTATACATGAACATAACGAAGATGACTTGGTACCGAACCGATGGTCACCCGTCGGTTTATAGACAGCCTGTGGATGTCCGAGGAAGTTCTTCCGCAGCCAGAATGTTTCAAGATTGCAGCCACTGGTGCTTACCTGGAGTTCCTGATTCATGGAACCAGCTCCTCTACGCTACTCTACTAGTTTCACATAGTTCCTTGCCTGACAAGTCACTTGGAATTCTCTTGTAATATGGTTTTTTTTACTTTCTTGCTCAGTAAATTAGTCACTCGTTTGTTGAGCTTTGTTCACCAGAGAATACAAACAGGTCTCTCTTGTAATATGGTTCGGAAGCTCTACCTTTTTTAGAACCCTCTCCAGACTCAATTCGATGCTACTTCTTATTTAAGCTATTGTTCCATTTTATACACAGGGAAATCATATTACTGCTCACTGATGCTGATAGTAATGCTGAAATTTGAAGTTTACGAAAAATGTCATGCAATGTAACTATACTACCTAACGAACGGCTCATGCAATTGAAAAGTACTCTTATGAATATAAAAATACTAGATTAGTACATACAAATATTAGATTAGTACCCATGCGATGGATGAATTATCTTTGTTTAAAATAAAATAAGAAAATAATAAGAACAAAGATAATTAAATACTAGGATAGTATTTATGTGATGGATAAATTTTCTTAAGAACAAAGATAATATTAACTAATAAGAAAATAATATCCAAAACTTTTTTAGAAAAGATTATAGAAACTTTTTGGTTAATTTGGTAAAGTTTTTTTTGGTATAAAAAAACTAATACACACACACACACACACACATATATATACACACAAAAAAATTGTTATTAAATGTTAATTATAAAAATCTAGTAAAGTTAAATTGTCAATCACCAAAAAATTTACGAAATATTCACCATTATTCGTAATATTGCAAAACATATTAAAAAACTTACTCTAGCAATTATGCCTAAAACATGATTATACATTTTCTTAAAATTTTATTTCCTAACTTTCAAATTCTTTTAAAAAATATTCTTACATTATGCAATTTATTGTATTTTATCAAAATAATTAATTATTACTAAAATTGATGGTAAAGTTCTTTCAAATTATAATCAATCTAAAATATGTTTTTAAATACAAATAAAGTCATTTTAATAGAAGTTTATATATACATTATAGCGTCGTTGAGGAAAATATTAACAACTTTTTAAAATACGAAATATAAAAACTACATATTATAAAGGTTAATGCTTTCGACCCAATATCGAATGCAGCTGTCTTTCCAACGAAGCTTGTTTGTGCACATGTAAGAAGGCAAGACAAGAAGTGGTAATGCTTTCGACCCAATATCGAATGCATCCACATATTTCTTGTTTCCGTCTAAGGCATTTCTACAATAGCAAGTTGCTTAATGGCATTGATGAGCTGACAAAAGCTGCATTCCACAAATATAATCTTCTGAGACCATATGTTTTTATGTCATTTATGGCCTAGAGAAAAAGGGTAGTAGCTAGTATTGCAATCACTTAAAAGTTGAATTTTTCCATGTCTTATGTACTCAAAGAAAAAGAAGTCATCTTGAAAACCTTCATCAATAAGATCAAGAGAATCGTCTTTTTACATCTCTAGCTGATAACAACCATAAAATTTATTAGATTTCAAAGTGTTAGGACGTTTCCACGGCTTTTTAATATGTTTAGAGTTTTAAGATTTTGTTTTAGCATATAAGAGAATCTAGAAGTTTAATGAGAATTACTAATTTGATTGAGAACCAACATTTTTCATTGCACAAGAAAAGAACATAAAGATTAGTTTACCTTATGTGATGTGGCTTGGAAGACCAAATAAGTACCATCTATTTTTTTTATTTTTTTTGTCAACCACACATTAATCAAAATAAAGAGTAAATTTGGAAAAAATACTTTTAAATATATAAAACAATTTAAGTAATCTAACTAAAATTTAATATTATACTAACAAAAAGTATATATTTCACAATACAAAATCGAATATAATTATAGATAATTATTTTATTTTCATAAAATCATTACATAAAAACGAACCTGAAGATTTTTTTTATCATAAATAATTCTTAAAATAATAATAAATATTATATTATTAAAAATAGAATATTCTTCACAAATACTTTGTAAAAAAAGGTATAGCTGGAAAAACCTTATGATTGAATCACATAATTGTATTAAAAATCCCAAAGAAAACAAATAACAATCATGCATTTACCTTGCGGTTTTGTTTTATAGAACTACACTTAGTTTTGAAAGATAGGCTCTGATACCACGAAATATTGTGAAACAGAATGTAATGTGTGTCTTATTGAGTAGAAGAATGAGGTATTTATACATAAATAGTTTCCTAACTATACGATATTAACATATCTAAGTAAACCTAATAATTAGAAGATTAACATATATCCATTAGTTTGCGTTGATTCCTAGGTCGAATGGGTTGCTGAGCTCGTGTATATTTATTTAAAGCGCCAATCTTCTCTCTTAGATCAATATTAGAGACCGGTACAATGTTAAAAAGACATGGCTGCTCGAGAGTAGAAAATCTAAATAATGATGTTGTAGAGCTCATCCTGGAGAGACTACCAGTGGAGTCTCTCCTGAAACTCAAGTATGTATGCAAGACGTGGAACTCGACAATCGAGTCGCAGTTTTTCAAGGAACGGCAGTGGATCCGTCGTAGGCAATCACGTGGTGAAGATGTCCTTTTCGTGTCCATTGTTGATTATCCTCCTCCTCATCTTAGTTATGATGAAGCTGGGAAGAGTACAATCCAATTCGGGTCGTCAGTATTTCGTACTGTCAAATTCCCTTTTCTAAGCGATGCGGTTTGCATTAGTAATTGTGACGGTCTGCTATGCTTCACCGACGACGTCGAACCAAATGTCGTGATCAACCCCGCGACTGGATGGCATACAAATTTTCCACACTCGAGATTTCAACCGCTCCGACTTGACATGCTTAATAAAGGACTTTCTAACGTGCCATATCCAAAGCTTGGATTCGGTAAAGATAAACTCAGGGGCGGCACATACAAGGCAGTCTGGCTATATAATTCAACTGATTTTGGCAAAGACGACGTTACTACGTGTGAAGTTTTTGATTTTGGCAGTAGTACTAACGCTTGGAGGTACGTTCTCCCTGCTTCTCCTTATCGGATGCTTCGTTACCGAGAACCCTTGTATTTTGATGGGTCACTTTATTGGCTCTCTGAGTGTGAAGAAACAAAGGTATTATCTTTCAATCTTCACACCGAAACTTTTGAAGTCATCTCACAAACTCCCTTTCTCCAAAAAAGTGCGCCTGCCTTGTCCCTCCTTGATAACTGCTTGTGCATATCAGTGGAAATAGAGCCCAACCTACTCATTTTGTCGTTAAGTGGAAACAAGACATGGGATCTAATGTTTTCGTTAGACCTCTATGAGTGTGCTTATTTGTTTGAGAGCCCCACCTCCACAATCATACCGCTAGCAATCTTGGACAAAGATAAGTTACTACTTCGTGGTGATGGAGCCATGAACAATGTGCGAGTAGTCGTGATACATGATCTCCGTACTAAATCTTTTGAGGTACTCTACAAGCCTACCTCCTGTGGATCTTGTGTTTGTTATTTCCAAAGTTTATTCACTGTTTAATTTTATTTTATTTCTCTTTCTTTTCCTTTTTTTACCATTCTAATTTAAACATTTTCTTCCATCTCCAAGGTTCTCTCCTAGGTTTTAAATCTTGTATTCTGCATTTAAATCTCCTAAGCTATACAATTCATGTAAAACAGACATACATTACGGTAAAACAGACATACATTTCTTTGTTAACTCATCTCAGTTTGTTGGTATATCTTTTGACGCTTTAAAGTGTCGCAGCCTTGGTCACTATGTCATTGCTTTGCTCTACTTGCAAGACTTGGTTGTATAGGTCTGGTTATATCAATGGAATTCGAAAGAGATTTAAGTTTGGCAACTAATTTATCAATATTTCTTGCGGATAAAGTCTAGATGGAAGGAAGACAAGACGATTATGATAATTGATAAGTTAGAGAAATGATAGTCTTTAAGTAAAATTGAACCAACTAAGCTAAAGTATTCTATTTTTTGTAATGTGATTTGTAAATAAAAGTGAATTAGAAACATTTCAAGATGTACTGTTTCTACTAGTAAAGCTCGAGAGCCCAGAGACAGGCCAAACAAAAGAAACTTGGAGCATCTTTGCTCAATTGTAGAGCCGTCGTTATGGGTTGGTCCTGGTTTTGTTCTTGGCTGCATGGTCGTTGGTATCTTGATTCTTGACAGTGATTATTGAAATGTAGGCTTTAGAATATTTATGTAATGCAAGTATATATATAAACTAGAAATAGACCCGCGCGATGATAAATTTGATATTATATTTATAATAATTTAGTATTATTTTTTAAATCAATTTAATTGAAGCAATTAAGTAACTCTCTTCACTTTTATGCACTATCTCATAAAATATTTATTTGCTTGGTTAAAAATGAAAAGAGTTAACTAAGTGTATATGTTTTATGATTATTTTTGTATTAAGAATTAGAATATTTTTTTATTCAACTACATTAGGATACTAAGAGTAAGATTTATAGTCTTAGATCACTACAAACAACTCTTTGAACTTGTAATCTATATAAATCTACTTTAGGTTTGTCCCTATGTCATCTTCTTTTTTTGTTTTCAAAAAATCATTGCTTATGAAATGTTGATTACTTTTACCTTCGGTCTCTCAAAAAATCATATCTTCTAATATTTCATATAGAATAATCTATATATATAAAGTTAGCTTTTTCTCTCTTCTCATGATGCCACCTAAGCATCCACCTAACCACATTTTTGTTTAAACATTAAAATAAATTAAAACATTCATTTAGTGCATATTTATGTTACTTATTTAATTAATAGAAAGTTTATATAAATAAAAATAAATTATGTAAAAAATGAAATGTTAAAATAAGAAAAACAATACTTTAATTTTTTTATTAGTGATAATAATATAATTCAACTTTCATTTTAATTGATCATAATTTAATATTTTAAATATGTTACTGAGTTTTAGAATGGAAGTAAAATTTAAATTTATGGTAGACTAAAACAACATTTAATAAAACAACATTTAACATATAAAATTATAAAGAGGAAAAATAAAATGAAAGTGAAATATTAGTTTATAACATGATCAAAAAGAAAAAAATGATATTTCATAAACTGAATCAAATGCTTTTAATCCAAATTTGAGTATTGAAAGATAATAATTAAAGAGAAAATAATTATAATATTTTTTGGAAATGAATTAAAAAAAATAATAAAATATCACAATATGAATAAAAAATCAACGAAACAAAAATATAAACCTCCCCAAGGAGAGCGGGTCAACTGCTAGTATTATATAATGACACATTAATATTATTTTTTTGTCAACAACTTTATATTAGTCTAGAGCATTAAAATAGCCTAATATTAATTACATATACAATAAAAACTAAACCATATGTATTCTTAAAAATAGGTTATGTTAATTAAAAAGAAAAGTCACATACAATTTACCATAGCCACTTTGCTCTCTACCAAGATTTCCGAGAAAAATAATATATGTAACAATAACATCATGGGAATTATACATAAATAAATTATACAACAACAATGAAAATAATAAAAAATAAAATTTTAGAGAAGAAATGGAAAATATTAATATTTTAAAGAAGATATATTAGGTTAGTACAAGCTAAGTTTTCTAATTATATACCAAAGTGTTTATTTCTTTGTATGCTTGTATACAAAAATAGTGGTCAATGTTTTTGTTTTTATAGCCTTCAAACTATTTTATTTTTACACATGTGTTGTTTCATACTCTCTTAATTTATAAGTACGATTAAATTTAAAAATATGTTAGATTTGTATCATACTTTCTAAATATATTTATATCAAATTCTTAAATGTTAATTTCATTGATTTTTATGCCATATAACAACATAAAAATATAAAAATATCAAAGATACATGAATATAAAGGCACAGGGTGAGGGAATGATTACTTATATGATGATAAACTAAAAAAGAAAACAGAGATGAATTTTCAAAAAGCAAAAATTATAATAACATAAAATGTATATCATATAGTCTCTAATTTATTTTACAATTGAGATTTTATAAAAGAATATTTTAATTGTTTTCTAAACTCATACAAAAAAACACAAAGCTATTCTTTTATATAATAATTGAGATAGAGAATTAGAGGATGAGAGAATGAGGGAATGGTAACTGAGAAAATGAGTATATATAGGAAGAGAAGTGATGGGAGTTACAATTTCATTAAAATATTATGGGAATCAATATAATTTATTGTGTGCTGAAAAATTCAATGTAAAATATAGTTAATGCAAATTTATATTATTTCAGTTTTTATATTAAAGTGTGAGTTTAATGTATATGATTAAATGTGTTTTGTGGTTTAATTGTTTTTAGTTTTATATTAAATTGTGAATTAAATATATATATATATATATATATATATATATATATATATATAGTATTAATTAATTTAATAATTATAATAATATATATATATATATATATATATATATATATATATATATATATAGATATGATAATACCTAATATGTTTTTAAGTTACATGCCAAGTGAACCAATATTAAGAGAGTGAAACTTTATTTATATATATATATGATTTGTTAATAATATGATAATTATTCTTTGATTAAATTTCATGATATATTATTTTATTAAATTGTGTTTCCTCTCTCAACTGTTTAATAATAGTAATCAAATAAATTTTTTTTTCTAAATTAAATAATAGAATATTTTTTGTTTAAATAGTTACTTTATCTAAATATTTTAGGTGTACTATTTTATTATACTGAAAAAAAACTAACTTTCTCTAATTTCATTATTTACCATAGATTTCACGATGCTAAAGTTAAAAAAAAACAATTCTCTTTAATTATTTTACTATAAACTTATTTTTCAAAAATTATAAAAACATGTTATTAATAATTTATTACCCATATTAACAACTTTAGGAAAAAATACTTTAAAAGGAGGAGGAAATTTTGATGTCATTTTTAAACTTTAAATCTTACATAAAAAAACTCATACCGATTTTCTTTGAACACAAAGAAAAATATTTTAACTACTTCATTTTATGTTTAGCTTATATGATATTTAATTTAAATAGAAACTAAAATTGGAGAATTTTTTTTTTTGCCACAATGACACTTTTTTAAAAGCAAACAATACATATCTTATAACTCACAACACAATATCACAAATAAAATACTTTTTAATATTAAATTAAAATTTAATAAAAATGACACATGTCATGAATATAGAGCGCCAAATGTCGCTTTGTGAGGCAAAGTTAGAAAAAACCTTGTCTTATTATATAAGATATACGACATAATGTTGGATTATATGATGAGTAGTCGTTTTTATTTACTCTTTTTTTGAGAATACTTATTTATTTCAGTTCTTGTGAAGTTCTAATCTATACAAAAACAAAGTCGACGAGAAGGTAAGACAACCAAAGAGAGTCTTGATATTTTACGACCCTTGAAAGTATTTTTTTTACAACCCCTGAAATATAGTTATAAACCAAAAGATGATATGAAGTGAACCTTCAAAAAGTAAAAACAAAATATGAACCAAATTGATGCAAATTGATGCAACATGATACATAAAATTCTTGTTTAATCTGACTAACAAAATGGAAAGTGTCTCGTTGACATACGCTAAACGTTCTTGCACGTCTAACGGTCTAACACTAGTATCGTGTAAACATGCTTCCACGATTTAGTTTGGAAAGAGTCCGGCAAGACTAGGACAAAGGAATATTATAGCTGGATTTAGAGAAACACTTTGCTATAAAAACCTATGCTCCCTTTCTTTACAACACAAACCAAAACAAGAAAAACTAACCAACGTAGTTAAGCGTTGGCAAACAAAACTAAAAATCACAATGGGATCTTCTTCTAGGATGGGGCTTTCAACCCATCTCATTTGCACTCTAGGAGTTATTATCATGGCAACAATGGTTGCTGCTTATGAGCCGTACACGTATAGTTCTCCACCACCACCGTATTCTTCACCATCTCCTAAAGAAGAATACAAATCTTCTCCACCACCATATGTATCTCTACCACCACTACCATATATCTCTCCATCCCCTAAGGTGGACTACAAATCTCCTCCCCCACCATATGTTTACGATTCTCCACCACCACCATACTATTCGCCCTCTCCTAAGGTAGACTACAAGTCTCCTCCTCCACCATACGTTTACAGTTCTCCACCACCACCTTACTACTCACCTTCTCCTAAGGTGGACTACAAATCTCCACCACCACCATACGTTTACAGTTCTCCACCACCACCTTACTACTCGCCCTCTCCTAAGGTAGACTACAAATCTCCTCCACCACCATACGTTTACAGTTCTCCACCACCACCTTACTATTCGCCTTCTCCAAAGGTTGACTACAAATCTCCTCCCCCACCTTATGTATACAGCTCTCCACCACCACCATACTACTCACCATCTCCTAAGGTAGACTACAAGTCTCCACCACCACCGTATGTTTACAGTTCCCCACCACCACCTTACTATTCACCTTCTCCTAAGGTGGACTACAAATCTCCTCCACCACCATACGTTTACAGTTCCCCACCACCACCTTACTACTCTCCTTCTCCTAAAGTAGACTACAAGTCTCCTCCACCACCATACGTTTACAGTTCTCCACCACCACCTTACTATTCGCCTTCTCCTAAGGTTGACTACAAATCTCCTCCCCCACCGTATGTCTACAGTTCCCCACCACCACCTTACTACTCACCTTCTCCTAAGGTGGACTACAAATCTCCACCACCACCATACGTTTACAGTTCTCCACCACCACCTTACTACTCGCCCTCTCCTAAGGTAGACTACAAATCTCCTCCACCACCATACGTTTACAGTTCTCCACCACCACCTTACTACTCACCTTCTCCTAAGGTTGAGTACAAATCTCCTCCACCACCATATGTCTACAGCTCTCCTCCACCACCATATTACTCGCCTTCCCCTAAGGTATACTACAAGTCTCCACCACCACCATATGTCTACAGCTCTCCACCACCACCATACTACTCGCCTTCCCCTAAGGTGTATTACAAGTCTCCTCCACCACCATATGTTTACAGCTCTCCACCACCACCATACTACTCGCCTTCCCCTAAGGTGTACTACAAGTCTTCTCCACCACCATATGTCTACAGTTCTCCACCACCACCATACTACTCACCTTCTCCAAAGGTTCACTACAAGGCTCCACGACATCCTCATGTATGTGTTTGTCCACCACCTCCTCCATGTTATTCTCCATCCCCTAAGGTTGTATACAAGTCTCCTCCTCCACCATATGTATACAGTTCTCCACCACCACCATACTACTCACCTTTTCCAAAGGTATACTATAAGTCTCCCCCACCACCGTATGTCTACAGCTCTCCACCACCACCATACTACTCTCCTTCTCCTAAGGTGCACTACAAATCACCCCCACCACCATATGTTTACAGCTCTCCACCACCACCATACTATTCACCTTCCCCTAAGACTGAGTACAAATCCCCACCTCCTCCCTCGTATTCACTTTCTCCAAAAACTGAGTACTAAACTTCATCATCCCATTCGTATTACTAATACTAAAAATAGTAAATGCTATTTTTAAGAAAGCTACCGGTTTTTATTTTATTTCTTCTTTCCTTTTGTTCTTCATGCTACTTGTATCTTTTTATTTTCTTTGTATTTGGATTAATAATTTGGTTACAAAACCTTCGTACGGTTTCATGATTGTTCTTTTATATGTGTAAAGATTGCTTGCAATCTATATGAACTCCTTTGCTAATTCTTGAGTTTTAAGCGTTAAATAACTATGTTATGGGTCTTGTATATGGATCGCATGCATGCATACTTAAGATCGTCGTGTTTTTAACTCAAGGAGTTAGATTATTCTACCTACTCATTGACCTAAATCTGGTATAGATAAAAGTTAATCACTCAAACTGAAAAAAAATTACGAGGAATATTCTCAAAGGTGTAACTACTTTACTCTAGCTATCATTCTATTGCATTTTTGTTGTCAATAAAAAGATACAAACGAATTAGCATCGAAGAGTCATTGCAATGGCGCAATAGACCAGTTCCTTGTAGTATATATCAACAATTTGTTTCAATTTTTTTATTCCTTGTACTGACTTTGGGATCATTTTTTAGTTCTTTCCCATGAAACAACTCAACTTTTGTATTCGACGAAAATCAAAATTTTCATATGCGATTAATTAGCAGCACCAAAAATAGTTGAATTACAAGTGACTTGATTTATATTGTCTTCATATAAAAAACACATAACTAAAATGCACCACATTCAATTACGTCTTGCATCAAACAGTAGCAGAAAGAGCTGACACGACTTCATATAAGAGATTGGGACTGTAAGCACAACATCATACCACTCAACGGCTGTCTCAACCTTTCCCAAAACCTGTCCATTGTTTCGTCTTTCAAGTGCAATCACAGCACACCAAATATTCTTTTCTTCACTGGAAAGCATATAACTGTACCAAAAAACTGCCATCTTTCCACCATAGCTCCCCAAATGAACATAACCAGTAAACCTAGACAGTCCTCTAAAACCCCCTTTGAAACCCTTCAAGGTCAAAAGTTGCCAATTTCTCACTTTATAGTCGTACCATCTCATTCCATAGATAGCAGAATAACAATATAGTATGTTATCTATCACGTAATATGGACTCTCTGCCCATCCTCTATCCAAATTACCAATATCTAAAGCTTTCCATCTATCTTCCTTTGGCTTGTAAGCCACACACCGATAGCCATACATACATATCTCATCGTCAATCACCGCACTCTTTGATACAAGATTATCACATCTCTCCCTGAGAGGGTTCAACATAGTCTCCCAAGTTTGGGTTTTTGGATCGAAAACCTCCATCCACTTGGAGGGACCGTTGTCATCACAGCCTCCTGCTACATATATCTTGTCATCAAGAACATTAGCTGCTGACCAATACCGTTCCACCCGCATACTTGGACCCTCGAGCCACCTATGAGACCGGCAGTCCAAGATCGATACTTTAGACAAGGGCTCATTCCAGATGGATCCACCAATGTTGTAGATATTAGAACCAACGACCACGAAGGTCGTCGAGTGGGCAAGAGGAGAGTTTGGAACTGGGACTGCAGCCAAAACATACCCACTTGACTTGTTCTTCTTCCTCTTCTTGCTTAGGGTTTGATCAGGTTTGCGGCAGAGAGTGAACCAACGTGTGTTATGGCCATGACAGAACTGAAAGCACACATAGAGAACACTCTCGGTGCGTCCTAAGAGAGACCGGGTCTCGTAAAGCTCCATAGCAAATCATCGGGGAGTGAAGGTTTATTTGTCGACATCGTCTTCTTCTCTCGGCACAACACTGAACAACTGATGAAACTTGGACTCAAAAAAAATCAAAATATTGATTTAGGGTTTTGACATTGACCACATTGTTTATTATTGGGCCAAACAATATATCGAAGCCCAACCGATTAAAAAACAAACGATGTGGTCAGAAAGAGAGTAGTGAATCTTTCTCTGAACAAAGAGAGAGTAGTTTGCATCATACGGTGAACGAATAGTTTTTGTTTTGTCTCTTAATTTTGTGTCAGCTAATTAATGAAAGAATATTCATCTTCATCGGACAGATGAGAAATAGAGTGTCTTTGTAATTTAATTAAATTTAACAAATAAACATTAAATTATAATAAAAACATAAACTAATGAAAATATTACATCTGGCACATAGTGTTAATGTCTGTGGGTAGACATTTGGTTCTTCGCTTTCCTCGGTTTTTCATTTTATGTTATTACTTTACTTATATTTTGAAGACATCCTCTCAAATGTGCAATGGAGTTGGTCTAATATTTAGGTTTTACCGTTAAAGAAAGATCTCCTTCGTACTGTTACTGTACTTAAAGCCTGACTGATTCATTAGCAATAGGTAAAAGATCCAACTAATTGTGTACGTACGGCTTTCAGTTTTAATATGATCGTGATGTGGCTTGAAAGCTATACTTACCGACAGTTTCTGATCTCTATCACTCTCACTCACACTTTGTTTTTTTTGTGAGGTAAATTGTGTTTGTTTAAGTTCTACTCTTTGTGTTAACAGTTTCTTTTACTCTACATATACCATAAAACAATAAAAGAAAAATGCTTAAAAGATTTAAGTTCCACAAATCATAAACATGGTTACTATTATTAGAAATTTCATTTTCAGATTTCAACCCAAAAGAAAAAAAGAAAAATATTATTTTGATTTTTAAGAGAGACAAGGTACAAGTGTTATATAACTTATATGGGTGAACTACATGCAGGACATGTTAAAGAGATCGGTTGGGTGATTTTATTGCTCAAGTGCTCATATGCAAAAACAAAAGCCTATTTATAACCAAAGGTCAGATTTATGTAAGTTGGTGAGAGGATCGCAGGATCCATATGGACCTGCATGGCCATTATAACCTCTCTATTTATACCAACGTCCCCATACGCGTGGACCAAAAAAATACATATATAATAGTAACATTTAACCAATTATATATATATATACACCTAATAATTTCTTTATATTTGTGTTATTGAGATTTTATAGCTTCATGAAATTATCAAACGAGAAATATACTTTCTTGTTTTACTGATATATATTTGCTCATGTGATTTTTAAAAGTTGTCCCGTAGTGTTTTGTATTATTGTTATCATTGTGTACTTAAAGCTGTCCCGTAGTGTTTTGTATTGATTATCAATTGTGTTAACCGGCCACTTGTATATTGTCTGCCAAAAAAAAAATGATAGCATATTATATATACTCTTGGAACTTTGTGTTTTGAGAAATATAAGATTATGCATGTGTATATTTTAATGAATTAAGAATTGTTGTTGACATTCAATAATATAGATTGGATTGTTGTATGAGTTTTTACGATGAATACATATGGCCAATTGGGAAAGAGAAGAGAGGGAGACAAAGGACAAAAAGAATTTAGAGCAATGCCTTTAATAGCAAAGCTTTTGCTCGTTGTTACTAAAGAGACTCGTGATGGCTACGTGACTGGCTCATACATAATGTCATCATCTTCCTCTTCACTCTTTCTATAATATGTCACACATACCTTAATATCTTACGGTCGTATTGTATTTTCTTTTCTTTATTTTGCTTACATAGTGCATACGAAAAAGCCCATCACGATATGTTATAATATGTTTCATAGTTATTATGATTTGACAGAAAATGGAAAAAAGAAATACAGAAATGGGTTGTGTAAGTGCTACATTGAGATTTATTAAATGAGCCACTTGATTAAACTATGCAAATGATACATGATATAGAAAAGTTTATGTCGAAATGTCTTGGACGAGTAATTAGGTATAGAATTTATTATTTGTTTATAATTTACAATCTTTATATAGTCAAACGTAAATTTTTGTTCGATGTATTTGTACTGCAAGGAGTTCCTTAAAATCTACTAGAAAATTGAATTTGTTCGTCGTGCTGCCAAAGTTGGTGCTATCATTGGAGAACGAACTTAACTCAATTAAGGATACATAAACAATTGCATTGTTTGGATACTAATCAAGTCATGAAATCAATCAGTCATAATCTTTTTCGGTAGCAATCATGATGTATGCGGCAAACTCACATACATGATCATGGTGCTGATCATTTGGTGTTCACGAGTACCCTTAATATCATCCATTTTGTTAAGTAAGAATCATCAGCCTTGTTCCCATTTTTTCGTAGATCCATCAATTACAAAATCAGTTCCTTCTTGACCACCACCAGTCCACCGGTAAACATGATTCTTGATCCGAGACTTTTGATCAAATAACCTTAGACTCATATTACATTCATAATCGTCCTTCAACCAAATCATCCACCAATCTTAAATACAATCCTTTTTACCGTTGTGGTTGTTCATGAGGATTCTAAATGATGTGGTTCATGAGAATACAATCTCAGCTGGTTTTCCATTAAAAAAAGTTTGTAATTTTGGTTACTATATAATAGCATTAAATCAACGCTAAGATAGAAAATCTATAAGTACGGATCTAAAATTCCTTATTCCGCCAACAATTATATTAAAAACGTCTTTTCAACTTTTTCCCCTAAAATTATTATTAATACCAGTTGAAAACTCGAAATTAAATATTATCCTTTTGATTCTTAGCCAAATTATATTAAAGAAACAAATCTTGTACATAGGGATTACAAGATTTTTTATACATAGGGATTTACTGGAGGCATTTTGAATTAATCGACACACAAAAGAACTTCCAAATTAACTACTCCAGTCTCATCGGTCTGTTGAGTGAAGATGAATCTAGTTAAGTTTCCAAAATTAAAATACTATGGGCCAATCTTTAATGGACATAGCATGACCTACATCCGTAATTGTAAACAAAAAAAACCACCCAGCACTTTAACATTGATGATAAAACTATACTTTTAAAGTTTATAAAATCATTAATTGCACACATAAATTAAAGATTGACGATGATAATACTATATATTGATACTAATGTTGTCCGTAATAATATTATAGGATTTCTAAAAGAGTATTTAAAACATAAACATGCCTACCTACGGGGCGCTCCAATGCTTTTGTGTGGCCTAAAAGTAGATGTACATAAATATATATATTAGAAAAACTTACTAAACAAACAAGAAATAATAAAGATAATAGTTTTGTGAACAATAGAAGTTTAAGATTAAAAAAAAATTAACGTTTTTAAAAATATAGAATAATAGAAATGTTATCTCCTAAGCAGTGATAATGAAATTTCAATTAATTATATGATATATATTTATAATATATATAAATATATATCATATAAGAAAACTATTTTAAATATAATTAAGTGAAATACAAGAATACTTGCAATGCAACGTGAGAGAGTGTAATTTAAATGATATAAGTGCACTTGCAAGTTTCATCGTGCGACTTGAGAGAATAAGAGGCATGCAAAGAAAAGTTTGCTTAAACTATTTTTTTGAGAAAATTTTATAAAAACAAATTAAATTGAATTAACATTTCTTTTCGTTTTGTTAAAGTAGTAGACTTAATAGAATAACATAACATAATAAACTAAAAGGTAACAAAAATATCTTATTATATAAAGTTGGGTTTTCAAAATTAGTCATTAACAAGATCGTGACACATGTTAATTGAATTGATAAGATGTTGACACGTGTCAGAGAATTAGTGGTAAGAAATTATATAAATTAGTTTTTTAAAAAATATTTTCAAAATAGAAAGAAGAAAATAAAAATTCAAAAAATTTAAGAATTACTTAGTAGAAATCCTAAAGGAAAAAGGATAGTAATTATAAAATAAAATTATTAATAAAAATTGTAAAAATTAGGTCTAAGGAACAAAAAAAATAACCAAATAAAGAAAAAAATACAATAAGTTAGTCAACTATAAGTTAATCTTAGAAAATATATGCATTTATCGTGAATATTATGTAATATTTAAACATTTTCATTTAGTAAGTGCATTTAAATAAGTTAGTCGTTAACGTGACATGTATCAATTGTATTGATAAGATATTGACATGTGTAAATTTAAGATATATTAATATATTTTAAAATTAAATGTATAAACCTTTCATAAAAAAGTTCGATACAAGTAATACATATAAAAGAATACCTAATTATAATTTTTTATGTTAATTCAAAAATTCTTATTATAAAAAAGGGAGATTTGCACAACTAACCTTTATTATTATACCCTTTTCTACAACTACCCTCTCTAGGTGTTCATTTTCAAAAATACCCTATTCAATGTACAAATTACTAAATTACCCTCCTTTATTATAACTCATAATGAAAAAAAGAATATTCTTTCCAACAAAAAGAATATTCCTTCCGAAAAATTTCCCGCCAAATTTTCCCGCCAAAAATTTTCGGCAAAAATTTTCCCGCCAAAAAATTCCGACAAAAAATTTTCTCGACAAAAAAAATTTCCCGCCAAAAAATTTTCGACAAACATTTTCCCGCCAAAAAATTTCAGCCAAAAATTTTCCGCAATTTCTTAAAAAAACCTTGTAAATATTTATAAATCCTTTAAAAAATCCTTTAAAAACCCGTGTAAATCTTTTAAAAGTCATCTAAAACCTTTCAAAACTTGAATAAACCTTTTAAAACCATTGTAAATTATTTTATAACATTTATAAACACTTGTAAATCCGTTTAAACCCCTTATAACCGTGATAAATCATTCAATAAAAACTTTTGTAAACTTCTAAAACCCTTTAAAAACCCTTGTAAATCCTTAAAACTCATTTTAAAGAACTTGTAATACCTTTAAAAACTTTTGTAAACCCTTCAAAAACCTTTGTAAACTTTTAAAACCCTTTAAAACTTCTTGTAAATCCTTTAAAACTATTTTTAATTCTTTGTATGCCTTTAAATATACTTTAAAATCCTTTTAAAAACACTTGTAAATCCTTTTAAAAAACCTTTAAAAATCCTTGTAAATTTTTAAAATCCTTTAAAAATTCTTGTAAATCCTTTTAAAAATGTTATAAACTTATAAAAACTTTTAAAAACCATTGTAAATCATTTAAAAACCATTTAAAAACCTTTGTAGGCTTCTAAAACTCTTTAAAAACCATTACAAATCTTTTAAAAACCATTTAAAAACTCTTGTAAATCCTTTTAAAAACCCTTGTAAACCCTTGAAAAGACCCTTTAAAAAATCTTGTAAACCCTTTAAAAAAATTTGGCGGGAAAATTTTGAAATTTTTTTTTTTTTTGCGAGAAAAGTTTTGCGGAAAATTTTTGGCGGGAAAATTTTCTCGGAAAAATTTATGGCGGGAAAATTTTTCTCGGAAACTTTTTTGGCGGGAAAATTTTGACGGGAAAGTTTTTGGCGGGAAATTTTTGGGGGGGAAATTTTTGGAAGAAATATTCCTTCCTTTGGGAAAGAATATTCTTTCAATAGGGGTAAAATAGGTATTAAAAATTAAGAGAGGGCAAAAATGAAAATGGTAAAAAAAGAGGGTATTTTTAAAAGAGTGTATCATAAAAAGGTTATTGCTATCAATTTCTCTATAAAAAAATTGGTTTTCAGAGTTACTAACTCACATGATTGTGATATATGTCAAGTAAAACATTAGATGTCGGAATGTGACACATATAAAAATAAAAAATAAAAATATTCAGATTTTTTTACTTATAATAAAATTATTAACCTAATTTTTACTTATCTCAGTTTGGGTTTATCAAAAAGCTAAGGTGCTAATATTTACAATTAACGATATTATATGTCGATCTTAGTTTATAAAGAAGGACTAAAGTTTAGTTTTTACAACTAAACATATTATACGGTTGCCTGGGTTTATAAATGAGGATTATGGTTTAAATTTTACAATTAAACAAGGTTTTATGTCGATTTAGGTATATAAATAATGAGTAGAGTTTAGAATACACAATTTGTACAAAGTTATTTATTTGGATTTAGGTGGTACAATTAAACGAGATTATGAGTTTAACAAAATAAATATGTTTATTAAATATTTTTATTTTATTAATATGTTATAATTGATTAATTTTAAATTTATATTTAAGTTTAGAGAAATTGATACCAATAACCTTTTTATGATACCCTCTTTTAAAAATACCCTTTTTTTTACCATTTTCATTTTTGCCCTATCTTATTTTTTAATGGCTATTTTACCCCTATTTGAAAGAATATTCTTTCCCAAAGGAAGGAATATTCCTTCCAAAAATTTCCCCCCCAAAAATTTCCCGCCAAAATTTTCCCGCCAAAAAAGTTTCCGAGAAAAAAATTTCCCGCCAAAAATTTTTCCGAGAAAATTTTCCCGCCAAACAAATTTCCGCCAAAATTTTCCCGCAAAAAAAAATATTTTTTCAAAATTTTCCCGCCAAATTTTTTTAAAGGGTTTACAAGATTTTTTAAAGGGTCTTTTAAAGGGTTTACAAGGGTTTTTAAAGGGATTTACAAGAGTTTTTAAATGGTTTTTAAAAGATTTGTAATGGTTTTTAAAGAGTTTTAGAAGCCTACAAAGGTTTTTAAAATGGTTTTGAAATGATTTACAATGGTTTTTAAAAGTTTTTATAAGTTATAACAGTTTTAAAAGGATTTACAAGAATTTTTAAAGGATTTTAAAAAATTACAAGGATTTTTAAAGGTTTTTTAAAAGGATTTACAAGTGTTTTTAAAAGGATTTAAAAGTATATTTAAAGGCATACAAAGATTTAAAAATAGTTTTAAAGGATTTACAAGAAGTTTACAAAGGTTTTTGAAGGGTTTACAAAGGTATTACAAGTTCTTTAAAATGGGTTTTAAGGATTTACAAGGGTTTTTAACGGGTTTTAGAAGTTTACAAAAGTTTTTATTAAATGATTTATCACGGTTATAAGTGATTTAAAGGGATTTACAAGTGTTTATAAATGTTATAAAATGATTTACAATGGTTTTAAAAGGTTTACTCAAGTTTTGAAAGGTTTTGGATGACTTTTAAAAGATTTACAAGGGTTTTTAAAGGATTTTTTAAGGGATTTATAAATATTTACAAGGTTTTTTTAAAGAAATTGCGGAAAAATTTTGGCTGAAAATTTCTGGCCGGAAAATTTTTGTCGGAAAATTTTTGGCGGGAAATTTTTTTTGGCGGGAAAATTTTTGCCGGGAAAATTTTTGCCGAATTTTTTTGGCGGGAAATTTTTCAGAAGGAATATTCTTTTTGTTGGAAAGAATATTCCTTTTTCATCATGGGTTATAATAAAAGAGGGTAATTTAGTCATTTTGTACATTAAAGAGGGTATTTTTGAAAATGAACACCTAGAGAGGGTATTTGTAGAAGAGGGTATCATAATAAAGGTTAGTTGTGCAAATCTCCCATAAGTTTAATATGTCATAGTGCAATCTCATTGGCTAAAACAAGCGAGATGAATAAAAGTGATTTAAAAAAGAGACATTATTAACTTAAAATAAGGATAACAAAAGTCAATATAATTTGTACTATAATGATTTCTAATTTTTTTTTTTCAAATACGTAATTTTGTATACTTTCATATTTAAAAACAATTCTTAATGCTTATCAAAATGACACTATAACTCATTTTTTTATTGATGTTAATTTGTAAGAACTTTACCATCAAAATTTGTAATAATTAATTAAGTTTAAGAAATACAATAAATTGCAAAGTAAAAAAAATATGCGAAAACAGTTTTTAAAAAAAAACTGAAAGTTAGGAAATAACAATTTTTAGGATATTGGTATAATCATGCTTAGGGTATAATATCTAAATTTTAAGTTTTTAAAAAATCTGGTAATAGTAATATTATGGAAAACGATGGATAGCTCACATTTTTTTGGTGATCGATAATTTAAATATGTACGATACATAACTAATTTTGTTCAACAAAAAACAATTTACTAACTTAAAAAAATATCTTTTTGAATACTTTAGATATAACATTCTTACAATAAAATTTTAATTTTAATTTTAGTTTGAAAATAAATAATCTTAGACGGGCTCTAATTAATCTATATTAGAAAATAAGTATTCAATTAATCTTGATTATTTTTTGTTAATGTTATAATTTTCCAAATTTTAACAAATGAAATATTTTTAGTACATATGTGAAAACATAAATTTTAACCCGCGTTTTTACGCGGGCCCTTATCTAGTAATTTATAAGGTTAGCTGTAAAAGGGAAGAATATGCAACAAACAAATCAGTTGAATTTGCCCCCCCAAAAAAAAACAAATCAGTTGAATATAAAATGTTTTAAGAGAAGAATAACTCATATATTGAATTACATACTCTAAGGCTTATTGACCAGATTATAGTAGAAATTATTTTATTTTCTTCCTTATTAGTTGTGATCTTTCTAACCTTGAAGCTACTAAAGAGACGTACGTAATGGATTAACACCAAAGTGAAAAGTATATGCAAAGTGAAAAGTGTATGCAGCACAAAATTGACCACGAGAGCTCAGAAAGAGTCGTTGGAATATTCCACCTACGCTTCTGGACGGAACCAGAATATTTCAACCGATCCATGTAATTTATAATCAACGATTTCTTATGGCCTACCACTGGACAATGCTTACGAATATGGTCCATGATCGTCCACATAAGTCCTTACAGTCTCTAATTGTAATTAGACGTGTTCGTTTTATAGACCATTGTTGTGATTTTTTATACGTTGTAGTGTCTCATTAATGTTGTTTTGTCCTATCAATCTCTGATTTTAATACGGATACATATATAAACAGGCTTTTTTAAAAATTGTACTATTATATACGCTTCAATCAGATTTTGTATGATAAATAATTTAATTAATATGTACTAGCTAGCTAGCTACTAGTAGTATACAAAAAAAAAAATATATATTTTTTAGAATTTTCGAAAACTTAAAAAAAAAAACACCAATCCACCACATGGTGTATTTTAATTTACATGTTTCTTTCCTAAGTTGAATATTGGATTGGCCAAAAAAATAAAAAATAATTAACTTGAACACCAATCCAATAACTTGAGCACAATTAAATCCACCATTCAACTTAGGAACAAACATGCAAAAATCACCTAGTGACAAAATATGCAAAATCAACCTCGTGCGATCTAACAAAATTCAAATAAAACAACGATCATATTAAAAATACCAATATACACCCTTCAACGAATAGTTTACGTAAGGTTTAAATTGAACGTTATTATTGATATGATCGAGGTCTAGGTTTATACTTATTATTTTATTTTTATTTTGTTGCATATAGCTCAACTAAATAGAAGAAGTGAATAAATACGTATTGAACAAGTGAACAAAAGAATGTTGTAGACAGAGTCATTGAATGCATATACAAGTAGCTAGATATAGGCATATATAGCTGCATTACATGTACATGTATATATGCAAGTACGTATTTAGGTGTATAAAAGTATACATTGTAATAAATATCTTGTAATCACGGAAAAAGGGAAGAGAGGGACCAAAGGTTAGAAGGAGAGGTACGTGGAGTGTCTTATTTGCGATGGTTTTGAAGATGGACAATACATAACTTTTAATACCACCGCAACGTGGTTCATTCCTTCACCTAGACGATGTCACTTTCTCTTTCCCTTTTGTCCTCTCTATATTAATCACCTGGATGGTTTCTCCCATTCTCACTAACTCACTCTCTCACTCAAGGGTCCAAAAAAAGTGTTTTGTTTCTCTCTTTTTTGAGTTTCTCTTTCTCTTTTTCAACACAGAAGAGACTGAGAAGCCATGGGAAGGGCTCCGTGTTGCGAGAAAATCGGGTTGAAGAGAGGAAGATGGACCGCTGAGGAAGATGAGATCCTCACCAACTATATTCAGACCAATGGTGAAGGTTCTTGGCGATCTTTGCCTAAGAAAGCTGGTATATATCTATATCTTTACATCTCCAAGTTTTACATTTCCTTATCGTCAATATATATCTTAGAATGTTATATGATATAATGTTTATGTATAGGGTTGTTGAGATGTGGAAAGAGCTGTAGACTAAGGTGGATAAACTACTTGAGAAGAGACTTGAAAAGAGGAAATATTACTGCCGACGAAGAAGAAACAATCGTCAAGTTGCATTCACTTCTCGGCAACAGGTACTATACCATTTAAGTTCATGTCACATCCTTCATTTATATTTATAGTTTTCTAGCTAAAATGTATGAATAGTGACTGTAAAGGCTGGGACCATGCATACAATACAGTAAAGTTATTTGCATGTTATGTCAACTTATGAACCATATAATACAGTACAATTATTTGCATGTTTATGTCAACTTATGAACCATATAATAGGAATGGTCAGAGTCCGATCCAACCGTTCAAACTTGTCAGATTATACAGCAATGAGCTTTTGTGACCATCGTAACATTTTCGAGCGGTTGATCACTGTTCTCATGGCCTTAAAAATTATTATATAGATACGAGATTGATATCATATATCCGATTTGACTTTTTGTTAATAAAAAAGACTTGGCGTTATGCTGCTATAGATCTAAACTGAATCGACCACTCTAATTAGTCTTGTCTCATATGTCATATGTGTGTTTTTTGTGTACGGCCCTAGTTGTAACTTTGCTTTCAGGCCTCTGTATAAAATGAGTGGTTGATAGATACGAACGTGTACGTAGCAAAGTGGGATCGAGTTTAGGGTTGATGCACAGTTTATTATAGTTATAAATTCGATTTCACTGTGCGTAAGCTTTTAATTAGATTGTTCATTTGGGATTTAGTGTTTTATTTTGTGATTAATTTGTGGAAAATTCTCTACCTATAAATCATTTCATTTATTTCAATGCTACATCTTTTAACAACAACATAAAAAAAATGAGCGGTCTAGAATCAATAAACCTTTTTTCAAAGAAAAGATAGATACATGCAAATGAAACCATGCAAAAAAAAAAAAAAAAAAATTCACGTCATGCATTGATTAAATATATATTTTTTGTTTATGCCATTTATTTTCTTTTATATAATTGTTGGTATTGAGTTAATGAAAAACCAACTTGCAATTAAATATAAATTTATAGTATATAATATATAGTACGTACTAGTATAAATTAAGTTTTCTAAATGAATATTGTCTCACGTGTGTGCATGTGACTATTCTTTTGTTATAGGTGGTCACTTATTGCAACACATCTACCAGGAAGAACAGACAACGAAATTAAAAACTATTGGAACTCACATCTCAGCCGCAAAATCTATGCCTTCGCTGCCGTATCCGGAGACGACCACAACCTAGTCATCGACAATATGCTCCTGAAGAAAGCTTGTTCTTCGTCTACCGGAGCCAAGAACAATACCAAGACGACCAAGAAGAAGAAGAAGGGAAGAACTAGTAGGTCATCCATGAAGAAACACAAGCAAATGGTAACGGCGGCATCACAATCATCAGTGCCAAAACCGAAAGAGCTAGAGAGTGAGATCAGTGATGGAGGTCAAAATGGAAACTTCGAAGGAGAGTCTTTAGGGCCTTATGAGTGGTTAGATGGTGAGTTAGAACGGCTCTTGAGTAGTTGTGTATGGGAATGCACTAGTGAAGAGGTTGTGGCTGGAGTGGATGATGAAAAAATGTGTGAGAGTGGGGACAATAGTAGTTGTTGTGTGGGTATGTTTGAAGAAGAACAAGGAAGTGTCGAGACAAAGCAGCTTGGCCATACAAGAATCACAAAGGTTGATGATCATGATATGATGAAGGTGGAAAAAGAAAGAGAGGGAAGTGTTTTAAGTTCGAATTCGATTGAGAATGATGATAAAGATTGGTGGCTTGGTCTATGTAATTCTTCAGAAGTTGGGTTTGGGATTGATGAAGAGTTGCTCAATTGGGAGTTTCAAGGTAATAGTTTGACTTGTCCAAGTGATGATCTATGGGATCTCTCAGATATTGGAGAGATAACATTGGAGTGATATTACCGTACATGAGGATAAAACATCGATCGTTTTGGTTGTAAAGTCTAGTGTTTTGTTTGGTTATAGTTGGATCTTGTGATTATGTGTACGTAATAGCTTGTTGGAGTGTGTTACGAGAGTTAGGATAAATGTAGCATCTAGTTTAGACTAGGTCGAACCACGTTATGCTCTCTCCTTTTTTTTTCTTTCTTTCTGTGTTTCATTATCAGTGTTCTGTAATAATGATGAATATATTGGGATCATTTAGAATTTATAAGTATATACAGTATGTTTATTCTTCTTATGTATTATAATTCTCAAATTTTACCCAACTTCTAACCAGAATTGGATCCAATCGTGTCTTTGTTTTCTCCAATCCATAAAGACATTTTTTTAATTTTAAAAGTTAGTTTTTATTGGGATGAGATGATACCCAATACGAATGAAAATATCTCAAGTCACATTTTGGAAAATAAAATAAAATAGGGGAACTATTTTCTATAGTACATTCAGCAAAGTTTTCTGAAATACGATGCAAGATAAATTCAAGAATAAACTAAATCGTTTTGTTTTTTCTTCTATTAAAAATTATTTTTCATTTTAAAAGAATTTTGAGTTTTTTTTTAACGTAAACTGTCATTTTCTAAGATAAATTTTACAAATATACCATTTTTTTGTTAACATCTTATGAAATATGCCATTTTTGAACACTTAAAAATGTCAGTGCTTACGATTTGTTTTTGCAAAAATACATATTTATAGTAAATACTAAATCCAAAATCTTAAAAACAAATAGAACCGACTAAACTCAAACATAAATAGTAAAACACATATTTAATCGGATTTTTGTAACCTCAAAAATGGGATACCCATAAGCTTTTACAAAAAAACGACAAATCCAAAAAACCTTAACTCTTATATAACTCGTGTACCACAAAATTTAGGTATAGGATCCAAATTATCTAATACTTTTACAACGAGACTATACCAATCATTCACTTCAAACAGTCAAACAAAGATTGACATTCATTAGATAAGCTGGAGTCAACACACACACACACATGAAAACCATCTTTTTTTCAAAGACAATACGACCAATGTCGGCAACAAAAAGAACATACGTCATCTCGCAACGACCGAGAGAAACTGTGTATTAGTAAAATACGTAGGTAGTGTCTTGATTAGATTCGACGCTAAAGACAACATGAGCGACATGTCTTTTTGTGACATTACATCTAAGCTTTTGAAGTGGGGTATTAGAGACCGCTTCACTATTGATAATTATGATGGTGGGGATGTGGTATGGTAAGCTTTTGGCTTTCTATTGATGAATATTATTTATATTTCATATTATACTTTTCAAGATTATGAAAGGTATGTACGATGTTCTTCTTCTTGTGTATGAACACAAAAACATAAAAAGAAGAAAACAATAATGTTCTAGTATATATGATCAAAAAGAATCATCCAACTAGTTCCATTAACGAACTCTCGTCACATTGTATATTTTACACATCATTTTTTAATCTTTTACGATCACCATTCCAAAAATAGTTTAGTGTATTATAAAGATGTCCTAAAAGAGAACCTTCGAATCTTTGGCCTTTAAGCAACCTTTGGTCGAAGCAATTCTTCTATTCGAACCTCTCAACTTTTTCTATTTATTTGTTTATCAAATATATTCTTTTCCTCCACCTTTCAAATGCCTCATCTCATATATAGGTGTAAAAACAAATCAAAGTATATTAACTTTCAAAAACATGTAGCACTGATTCATTGACGAGAGACATGTCGATAACAAGAGTACGAGCTGTGACACATCAAGATCTTGTTCCTAACCCCAAAACCACCGATCTCAGAAGCAAAACCGGTATTTTCGTTGTCGTTTTGACCATAATCTTTGGCCTCACCTGCTTTGTTCTTTGCCTCTATGCCGAAGCCACAAGATCTCAGGTACACTATTATAAATGTTATCCCCTTATATATGTCGATCATATTTTCAAGATAATCAGTAATCTATAGTATTAGATTGTAACAGTCGAATAATTGTAGCTCACAACCTTATGGTCGGTCCAAAATATGTTGTTAATGATTCCCATTTTTGTATGTAGTCTATATGGGGAAGCAAAACGTGCGTGTACAACAGTAGCGGCAAAACGCCGTTGTTGTGCGGCGCAATTGCGTTTGTGGGACTAGCGGTTGCGATGGTAGGCTTGCACATGTACTTACTTATCGCAGTCACCGCATCGCCGCCACTACTTTTTGTTGAGTGGGATCCTGACTCTGTTCCTGCCAAGAGACTCACGTTTCAAGCAGCATTTTTCTTCGTCTCAACGTGGTAAGCACACTTATACTAACGTAACGATTAATGTCATGTTGAAAATAACAACAAACAATCCTAACTATAAGCTCTGGATGGTAATAAGCGGAAACATTGTGGAATGATATGACCGTTAATTGTCTCTATTAAGGATTTGCTTTGGTGTTGGAGAGGTTCTGTTGTTGGTGGCACTAAGCGTGGAATCAGGACATCTAAAGAACTGGTCTAAGCCAAAACCTAGTTGTCTGGTAATCCGGCAAGGCTTATTTTCAGCGGCCGGAGTGTTCTCACTTCTAACCATCTTTCTAGCCACGGGACTTTACTTAACTGCTCTACAAGCCCATAGGATCTCTAAGGATCTTGAAAATACACATAGAGAAATCCTCGAGGCATCAGTTCTATATGCATCTCCTCCAAGATCGCCGAGTAATCGGATGGCTACGGTAGCTCGAGAAGGTCCTGTGACCGTTAGAGATGAGTCGACATCTCTAGAATGTCTCGTTTTTTTAAAGCAACTTCCACTTATAGTATAGTGTATATGGTAGATAAGATTTAGTAATTAACATTGTTACTTCAGCAGAGAAAACGAACAAAGATATTGATCCTTACACATCGAATCAAAGTAGAAAGACGAAGTGTCTGCTAAATGTTTTTATCCTCTTGTCTATATAAAACAAAATTTTAATTATGATCATAACTTCATGATGTTGAAGACTGCTTCTCTGTTAAATTTGGAGTCTAGGCCACATAATCCTATGAGAAAGACTATTTTGAGTATTCCTAACATAAGCAATACAAAAGTAAATGAACACTCCTGAGTCTTGAGTCTGGAACTAAACCAGTTTTATACCTTAAACTGGTTGCATTAAAAATATTTCTTTCTGGTTCAAGATCCGATAGTGTCCCCTAAACTCAAAGCAGACCAGACTTCATTGTTTACTGTTTAGTTCAGTTGGTTCAAATTCAGTCTGATTCACAGGCCTGTTTCTTACCTTTGGATCGTTTTTTACCTATTACCAAGTTGTTTGTAGCTGTGTCGTTGCGTGATGGCTCTGTTGTTACTGGCCAGAAAACTGATGGCGGACGAATTCCAGGAGGAAGCAGTCTTGGAACTTCAGAAGCTTCAGGCCAATTCGAGACTCCCGGAAGCGGAATAAAATCAGCTGCATAAACTCGAAGAGAACTCTCTGTATTGTAACAGTCATTTACATACTGCAAATGGTCACTGTTCATCCTCCTGCATGCTGCTAACACATGCGAACATGGATACTTGCAAAGTTGCCATATCCCACAAGTGCAAACCCGGTTTATAAAATGAACAACAAATCCCTTCTTTTCAACTTGCATCACTTCCGTCACCTGAAAGCTCTCTCCGGTCTGGTCTAATGGCAGTACATCATGAGTTAGAGAAGCTACCTTGTACTCTTCAAGGTTTTTCATGACATGTTTAGCGTATAGGTCTCTTCTGTTCTGTGATTCTGCTGGAAGACCATGTCGAGATTTGAAAAGCTCTGCCAGGTCATCAAAGATTAGCAAGATGCAGGTTGAGATTGGAAAATCATGAGCTTTGTTTATGAAACCATAAGTCGTAAAGATTGTGTTTGCAGTCATGATCCCGTATCTAACCCCGCCATCGTCGTAAGCCAGAGCCCATAGATGTGGAGGCATTTTTTCTAACCATTTCCTAGCATCAGGGTCCATCTTTTCGATTTTCTTCAAGTAGTAATCAAAGCTTGATATGTCCCTCGCAGATCCAGCCTTGTAAACCAGCTCTGTCATGAGATTGTTATGGAAAACATCATAAAATTTGAAGCACATATGCCTAAGACAGAACCTATGTTGCGCCCACCGACACACAGGTTCGTTAACAACTGCAACTATTTCAGGATTCAGACTTGTTATTAGACAAAGGCCTTCACGTTGCGTTACTTTATTTCTGATGCAAGCAAAGAACCAACGCCAGGTATCAGCTGATAAACTTTTTAGGGTAGTAATCGCAAATGCAAGTGGAAACAGCCTGTTTTCAGCATCAAAGCCCCCCGCAACCAACATTTTTGCAGGGTATTTACCATTCAAGTCTATTGTATCCACTATGATCAAAGGTCTGAGGTGTGCAAACCCTTCAATTGACTGCTGAAACGCCCAAAACACAGAACGAAAGAATGCATCTTTGGGATTAAAAAAAATATCATATTGCCATTCCAAGACCATCTTGTTAGATGAGCTAAGGGCAGCCATGAGCTTGGGCAATACGTTAAAACTCTTGTCCGAATCTCCCAAGATTGCAGTGATTCCTTTCTTTTTAGCATCCCACATATTGGTACATGAGACTGTGTAGCCAAATTCTTCTTTCACCCACAAGTTTAGCTCTGCAACTGAGATTGAGGGCTGAGCCATGATTAGACCTTTGAGCTCACCAGCCAGAAAATCTGAGCACACGTTTGCTGGCTTACAATTATGTGGACCTATATATTCTGTTATCTTAAAGCTATTGTTGTTCGTTCTAGCAGCCTTGAGAATCCATACACAAGTATTCATGCACTTATAATCATAAATACCTGAAAATCCACTTTCGTACTTAGTGTAAATCCGCTGTCTTCGGTTAGAGTACAACTTCACAGCTTTCTCCAACTCATTTTTATCTCGGAAAACCATCCCAAGATGCAACTCACGTTCATCAAGCCATGAACTAGAGAAAATCATCTGTTCTGGGACATTATCTACAAGGCTTTTTGTTAAACCTGGACTTTCCGTAGTTGAATCCTTCTGTGTAGTCACACTATTACCACCATTTCCACAGTTACACTTACCACAATCCGTACCTTCCTCTTCTTCAACCCACATGTAACTGTTATCCTCCCGAGGTGTTCTTAGAGTGTTATATTTCACACTCACATTTACATCTGTATCGATATTACCATCCTCTAGCCGAGACCGCTTCCGTGTAGCCTGATTAGCCAAGGAACTAGCAATAGCGCTGATACCTTCATCAAGAACCGGTTTGGCCTCTAAATACAACTCCACATTGCTAATAGAAGGATGATAACTTGGAACCTCAAGCATAGTCTCTAAACTACAATCATCCACAATAGGCATACGCACAAACTTCACCATAGATTGTTGAACAATAGAAGGATACCTACAAATCAATTCAATCTGAAACTTCCCCTTTTCAAATCCGGTAACACGATGCTGATCCAACAATTTGGGGAAATCAATGTTGCTTTCAACTCTAATAACTCTTGGAACTGATCCTTCATAGAATGGACCATCATGACCATCTCTTATAAACCCATTCCAATAACACAACACTGGTATCTTTCTTGTATCCATTACTAGAGCACCACAAAACCTGCAGAAAAGTTCAAAAAAAGACCACAGTAAAGGAGAATGCTTTCTAAAGGAATCGAAACACCCAAAACCGTATGTATGAATTCAGAAACCCTAAAGCCCAATTTTATAAGATTACCATAATAATACGCCCTGGAAGACTGGTAAAGGTAAAAACTTTCTACAGGAAACTAAAAACACAAAACTCTAAAGCTCAATTTCAAGGAAGACTGATAAAGGCGGATGCTTTTTGAAACATAATGTGTTTTTCATTAGATAGACACAGCAAAACCCTAGAAAAGTTTTCAGTAAACGAGATATCTTTGAACTGTGAGGATAAAGAAACGATTTTTTACCTTGCCAAGGCGGGAAAAAGCTCACTTGCATACGAGTTCCTGTGTTTTTTACCGGAAAAAGTAGCTCTTTTTATTGTTCCTCCGCCGGAGAAAACACTTTTATAGTACTCTGCTTCCAACATGATCAAAGGTTTATAAATACAATAACCATCTTCACGGTTTAGTTAGGTTTAGACTAAATTAGAAATTTTGGACCTTATTATAACAATTCAGCCGTTTTAATGATTGTAAAACTTTATCTTAAATTCTGTTATTAATGATCTAATGAACTGTTTAATCATCAAATGGTCAAATGATTAGAAAACCCTCCCGCTTCTTTAGATTGAAACCTTCCTCACTTCTTTCATCATCATTCTATTTCTTGCCTTCTCTTCACTTTGCAAATCCCTTTTTCAATTCAGATTTCTAGGGTTTCTCTTCAGGTTTGTGAAACAGAGACATGTCGCTGCGACCGAGCGAGAAGACAGAGATCCGTCGAAGCCGTTACAAGGTATCTGTTGATGCGGAAGAAGGACGCAGAAGAAGAGAAGACTTTTTAGTCGAGATTCGCAAGAACAAACGCAAGGAAAGCTTGATGAAGAGACGCCGTGACGATTCTAAAGTTATGACTACTGATTCCGATGACCCTTTTGAGAGTTTGGTATAAGCACTCGATCTCTGGTTTTCGATTAGTGAAAGTTTAGGTTTTTGAATTGATTTGGGGTTAATTCGATTTATGGTGGTGATGGGTTGTTTAGTTGGAGGTTTCGAATATGATCGCTGGGGTTTTCTCGGATGATCCTTCGTTGCAGCTTGAGTCTACGACCCGGTTCAGGATGATTCTATCATTGGGTAAAGTCTTGAACTTTTCTTGATATTGATTTGAAAGATACGATCTTTATCATTTATTTACTCGAATGGTTTCTTGTGTTCTCGTTTGTTTGTTCAGATAGAAATCCACCTATTGATCACGTGATACAATCTGGAGTATTGCCTCGTTTTGTTGAGTTTCTTAAGAAGGATGATTACCCTAAGCTTCAGGTTAGAAGAAAAGTGTCTATCTTTTGATGATTAGTTGTACTCTTTGGTTCTGAATCAGTGATCTTTTGTAGTTTGAGGCGGCTTGGGCTTTAACAAACATTGCTTCTGGGACATCTGAGCATACCAAGGTGGTGATTGATCTTGGGGCTGTTCCACTCTTTATTCAGCTTCTTGCTTCCCCTGATGATGATGTCCGTGAACAGGTATAGTTAGTGTTTTTGTCAATATGAATGCTTATGATCTAATTGAGTTCAAATTCTGAAAAAAGTTTGATGTTACACTAAATTCTCAGGCTATATGGGGACTGGGTAATGTTGCTGGTGATTCGATAATATGCCGTGACTTTGTTCTTAACTCTGGGGCATTGATTCCACTGTTGCATCAGCTGAATAAGAATGCTAAGCTGTCAATACTTAGAAACGCCACTTGGACTTTATCAAACTTCTTTCGTGGCAAGCCTTCGCCATCCGTTGACCTGGTATTCTTACTTCTCTCTCCCTCTCTCTGTATCTCCAGGCTCTGTTTGCTTAGTTTGTGTACGTGCAATAATACTTAACTTATGAATTATATGATTAACAGGTGAAACCTGCTCTCCCTGCACTTGAACGACTTGTTCATTCGAATGATGAAAACGTCTTGGTAGATGCTTGCTGGGCACTTGCGAATCTGTCTAATGGTTCAAATGAACATATCCAAAGTGTGATCGAGGCTGGTGTTGTCCCAAGACTAATTGAACTAATCCAGTTAGTAGTTCTCCAAAATACAAATTTAACCTGGTGTTACTACAGGTTTAGATAATGAAGGCTGACATTTTTTCTTTTGCAGACTTTCTCCAATTGTAAGTGTTCCTGCCCTTCGTACCATTGGGAATATAGTTTCTGGAAATCAACAGCAGACCCAGGTTTGTAATTCATATTCCATTTATGGAACCTTCAAGAACACTTTTGTTATCCACCGTGTGAATTAATAGTTTCTTAAAGTAATAGGCTTTATCAAAAACTTGTTTTATTATCCTAAATCTTCGATGATATATTACTATAGGAATATCAAAAGCTTGGTTTATTATCCAATAATAGAATGCAGAGCCTGGAGAACACTTTACTATAAGTTGCTTGAGTACAATGTTGAGATTAAAATTTGTAATGTAACTACAAAGTGGAAGATGTCATTGCTTGAGCTCTGAAATAACTCTTTGTACTTCTTCTTCAGTGTGTGATCAATTGTGGTGCTGTACCCGTTCTTGCCAACCTGCTTCGTCAAAACCATACAATAGGTGTTAAGAGGGAAGCTTGCTGGGCGATTTCAAATATCACTGCAGGCTTTGAAGAACAAATTCAGGTGAGAAGTTTTTGTCGGTTTATCAGTTCCATCAGTTTCTGATTGTTGTAGTTGCAGAACTTATACAAATTTACCCTTCTGTTGCTATCACTAATTGTTTTCTGTTTGTCTTTGCTTTCCTAACAGTCAGTTATTGATGCAAAATTGATTCCAATCTTGGTCAAACTGGCTCGAAAAGCTGAGTTTGAACTAAAGAAAGAAGCTATATGGGCAATTTCAAATTCCATCATATGTGGTTCTCTTAATCAAATCAAGTACATCCTTTGTCTTGTCTCTTTTTTCCACTTTAAGATGCTTATTTGATCATCAATTAACAATCTCCATTGGTGTGATGATTCAGATACTTGGTGAAGAAGGGTTGCATAAAGCCTTTGTGTGACATCCTGGTGTGTTCAGATATAAGAATGATCTTAGTGTGTCTAGATGGACTGGAAAATATTTTGATGGCTGGAGAGGTGGAGAAGAAGAACACAGGAGGAGACGTGAATTCTTATTGTGAACTGATTGAAGATGCGGAAGGGGTAGAAAAGATTGAGAACCTGCAGCACCATGACAACAATGAGATATACGAGAAGGCTGTGAAGATTCTGGAAACATACTGGCTTGAAGAGGAAGATGAAATACAAGAGTTAGGGGAAATACTACAACCTCATGGACAAGGTGGTTATGTATTTCAGAATTCAAGATCAAGTTCAAGTTCCAAGTTCAAGTTCTCATCCGTGGTTCCAGTTTGATTTTACTCGTCAAGATCCCACACAATCTGATATTAGATTTGATGTACAAAAAAATAGCCTCTGACATTGAACCAAAAAAGTTAGTCAAGCAAGTGGTGTCAGTTTCTTGATGACATTATTAGGCTTGACTTGGTTGTTACTTGAGAAAGTAGGTACATAGACTAGTTGATATAAAAGCTTTGCCTCCCTTTCTCACTGAGTCTTATATTGTTTTGTTCTTTTTTGTAAATATTTTGGGGATTATAGAGTTGTTTCCAGTGATAAGTTTGTTCACTCCGATTTGGGGGAAATCGAGATTTGATCCTAACCAATACGCCTAACTAATTGAAATTTGGGTTTGATTAAACCGGAGCTAAACCCATAACCAAACTGAATCAATTACATTAATCGTAACATTAAATCAAACCAAAACGGTTTTCAATTAACTTTATGGATTGAATCAAACCAAACAAACCGGCTTAACGATAATTGAAAACGGTTTTCTGATAACGATCATTAGAAAACCGTTTTTTTTTTTCAGCTTCTTTATAAATTCTGATTCATCTGTTTATTTCGCTCCTTCACCATTTTTGTTTTTCATTCTTGCTCTCAACTGCGAAAGTTCTCTTCCTCTTTCACTTCTTTAGTTGAGATTTTGTTTCTCTTTCAAGTTTTGTAAATCGCTTAGAAGAGAGGTCAAAGAAGAGAGAAAGCTATGTCGCTAAACCCCGAAGACATGACAGAGGTTCGTATAAACGTGTTTCACAAGTAATCAATCGATGAATCTCTGGTTTGGGTTTTTGATTGTGTGAATTTCTTTGTAGGTGAACCAAGAAATGATAGATGGTGTTTGGTCAGATGATCCTTCAATACAGTTGGAAAACGCTTCCAAGTTCAGATATGCTCTGTCACATGGTACAAAACGCTTCCTCTGTTTTACTTTCTTTACTTTTCTTGATCTTGAATCTTGAATCTGTTTTCTTCTTTTATATTCAAGCGGATGACCCTCCTGTTGCTAAGATAGTAGAGTCTGGAGTTGTGCCTCGTTTCGTTGAGTTTCTCAAGAAGGAAGATAACATCGAGATTCAGGTTAGAATTGTAAAACAAGTCCACTTTTATGGTATTGTAATGATTTGGTGATTTTTCCTCTGATTCTTATATTCTTTGATTGATCCTTAGTATGCTGCTGCTTGCGTTCTAAGAATGGTTTCTGAAGGGAACACCAAAGTGATAATTGATCACGGTGTTATTCAAATCTTTGTCCGTCTTCTTGGTCGTGCTACTAGTAGGGTTCATCTCCGTTTTCAGGTATTTTCAGTTCTTGATATGAATGTGAGATATGAGTTGAGATTTTGATGTTATACCATAAAGTGCAGGCTACATTGGCACTAGGTAATGTTGCTCGTGCTTCAGTAGAATCCCGTAACATTGTTCTATTGCGTGGTGCAATGGGTCCAGTGTTGGCTCAGCTGAAAGAGAATACTGAGATCTGGATGCTTACAACTGCCGCTAGGACTTTGTTACACCTCTGCGCTGGCCTGCCTCGGCCTCCCTTTCACCAGGTCTTCTAGCTTCTCTCTCTCTCTCTCTCTCCACGCTTTGTTTTCTCAGTTTGTATACATTAACACATATGGAAACGTGATTAACAGATTGGATCTCATGTACTCGCCGCACTTCAGCGAGTTCTTCATAAAGATGATGAGTATTTTTTGTCAAATGCTTGTACGGCACTTTATTTTCTAGCTGATGGTTCAAAACAAAATATCCAGACATTTATCAACGCTGATATTGTCCCAAGACTTGTTCAACTTCTCGGGTTAGTGCTTACTCCAAAAAAAAAAATTTAAAGCCTTTGCTACATGTTTAGATAATGAAGGCTGACTAAGTTTTCTTTCTTTTTCAGACACGTTTCTCCATCGGTGATTGAACCTGTAGTAAGTACCATTCTGTATCTAAGTAATGGAATTAAGCAGCAGACCAAAGTATGTACTTTTATGCTACCTTTTAAAACACTTCTTGTTGGGTTATCATAATGTACAATGTTACGATTGGATTTGGTTACCATAAAGTACCTCTTTGAACTTATTTTTGTCAGGTTTTGATAGAGTGTGGTGTTTTACCTCTTCTTGCCAACCTGCTTACTACTCAAGGCAATGATACAAGATGGAAAAACATAAAGAGGAACGCTTGCTGGACGATTTCCATGATCACTGCAGGCACTGAAGAACAAATTCAGGTGACAAGTTTTTGATTGTGAATGTTGCAGATAACATAAAAACAGATTTATCCTTTTGTTAATATCACTAATCGTTTTCTATATGTCTCTCTTTACCCTAATAACAGGCAGTTATTGATGCAAATCTGATTCCAACGTTGGTCAATTTGGCTCAAAATCCTGAATTAGAGATAAAGGAAAAGGTTGTAAGGGCAATTTCTAATGCAACCTCAGGTGGTTCTCATGATCAAACCAAGTACGTCCATGCCCTTCTCTCTTTTTCACTTTCAACATGCTTATTGATCATCACAAGTCACAGTTTCTATTGGTGTGTTTCAGATACTTGGTGGAGCAGGGTTGCATAAAACCATTATGTGATCTCCTGGTATGTCCAAATGTAAGGATCATCTCTGCGTGTCTAAATGGATTGGAAAGGATTTTGATGGCTGGAGAGGTGGAGAAGAACACCACCGGAGACGTGAACTTATACTCTCAGATGATTGGAGATGCAGAAGGGAAAGAAAAGATTGAGAACCTGCAACAACACGAAAGCAGAGAAGTAAACGAGAAGGCTTTGAAGATTGTGGAGACATACTGGAAAAAAGAGGATGATGACCAAACACAACAACCTCCAAGGTGATGATCTCTGGTCTTTCAGATGTGACAGAATCAAGTTCCAGTCCTTTCTAGCGGATTCTACTTCTGTTGAAATGTATATTTAGGAATAGACGCAAACAAAAAAAGTAACTTTCAAACTGTTAATAGAATGGAACCAAAACTCAAAGAGTGAGTCAAGTTCATGGTGGATTAATCTTTGGCTCCATTGTTACTTTATATTAACAGAGTTGTTTTGTAAATGGTTCCTAGAAAAAGAATTTATAATGCAAGATTGATTTGTCACAAACTGTTAAATCCCCCAATCCTCACACTTGTTTAAAGAAAGAAAAAAAGAGATGGAGACATGATCGAACAGAACAAAATTAGTCTTAGTGATTGTCGTACAAGCTAAACCCACCACTGATGTTTGCGTTTGCGTGATGGTCGTAAGGTTTATTAGACTTTAGACGATCACATGAACCAATACGCCTAGCAGATTGAAATCTGGGGTTCAGTAAACCATATTTAACCCAAAAATAATTGAATTGGATTAGACCGGATTTAATTCCAAATTTAACTAAACTAAACCGGTTTTGTTATAAAAATAATGTAACTAGAAATATCGTTCGCTTCTGTAACTTCATCTGCTTTTTGGTTTAATCCAATTCTTGTTTGCATTCTTGCAAAAGTGCTCTTCCTCTTTCACTTCTCAGTTTAGGTTTTTGTTTCTCCTTCAAGTTTTGTAAATCGCTTGGAAGAGAGGTCAAAGAAGAGAAAACCATGTCGCTGAACCCCGAAGCCAAGAAAGAGGTTCGTCTAAACGTGTTTCACAAGTAATCAATCAATCTCTGGTTTGGGTTTTTGATTGTTTATTCTCGTAGGTGGACAAAGAAATGATTGCTGGTGTTTTCTCAGATGATCCATCAATACAGTTCAAATACGCTTCCATGTTTAATGGTACACAACTTCCTCTGTTTTACTTTCTTTACTTTTCTTGTTCTTGATCTGAATGTTTCTTTAAGTTTCTTCTTCTTGTATGTTCCAGCGCAAAAAAGGCCTGTCGATAAGATAGTAAATTCTGGAAATGTGCCTCGTTACGCTGAGTTTCTTAAGATGGAAGATTCATTCAAGTTACAGGTTAGAAGAAAAAAGCTCCCATCAGTTGATATATTGTAATGAATAATTGGGCATTTCTGATTTTATTCCATGATCTCTACTTCTCTAGTGTGTTGCTGCTTCCATTCTAAGACATGTTTCTGAAAAGAACACCAAAGTTCTTATTGATCACGGTGCTGTTCAAATCTTTGTCCATCTTCTTGCTGGCGCTACTGATGATTATTATCTCCATTTTCAGGTATTTTACTTATTGTAGATATGAATGCGAGATATATATAGGAGTTGATATTCTGATGTTATACCATCTTTTGCAGGTTATGCGTGCACTAGGTAATGTTGCTAGTGCTTCTATACAATCCCGTGACTATGTTCTACGGTGTGGTGCATTGACTCCACTGTTGGCTCAGTTCCATGAGAATAATAATCAGATAATGGTTGGAGTTGCCTCTTGGACTTTGTCAAATTTCTGCTCCGGCATGCCTCCGCCTCCCTTTCGCCAGGTCTTGTAGCTTCTCTCGCTCTATCTCTCTCTCTCTCTCCAGGTTTTGTTTCCTCAGTTTGTATACATTAACTTATAGAAAAATGTCTAAACAGATGAAACCTGCTCTCTCTGCACTTCAGCAAGTTCTTCATAGAAATGATGAATCGTTTTTGTTAAGTGCATGTTGTACACTTCATAATCTATCTGATGGTTCAAAAGAGACCATCCAGAGCTTTATCGACGCTGGTCTTGTCCCAAGAATAGTCCAACTTCTCGGGTTAGTACTTATTCAAAACAAACCTTTTTAAGCCTTTGCTACATGTTTAGATAATGCAGGCTGACATTTTTTTTCTTTCTTTTGCAGAAACGTTTCTCCAACGGTGATTGGTCTTGCATTAACTACCATTTTGGGTCTAACTATTGGAGATAATCAGCAGACCCAAGTATGTACTTCTATGTTTTAAACACTTCTTGTTGGGTTATTATAATGTATCTTGAATGATTAAATTGATTAGTTTAGATATTAGATGTTGTAACCAAAATGCTCTTTCAACTTATTTTTGTCAGGTTGTGATAGAGAGTGATGTTTTACCTCTTCTTGCCAACCTGCTTACTCGAAACCCTGTTATACAGTGGAAAACTTGCTGGACGATTTCAAACATCACTGCAGGCACTCAAGAACAAATTCAGGTGAGTGTTGCAGATACATGAAAACAAATTTACCCTTTTGTTGCTATCACAAATTTACCCTTTTGTTGCTATATGTCTCTCTTTACCTTAATAACAGGCAGTGATAGATGCAAATCTGATTCCACCGTTGGTCAATTTGGCTCAAAATGCTGAATTAGATATAAAGGAAAAAGCTGTACTTGCAGTCTCAAATGCAACCTCAGGTGGTTCTCATGATCAAATCAAGTAGGTCGTCCTTGTCTTGTCTTTTAACATTCAAATCAAGTACGTTGTCTTATTGTTTTCACTTCTAACATGCTTATTTATCTCATCAAAAGTCACAATTTCTATTGGTGTTGTTTCTTTCAGGTACTTGGTGGAGCAGGGTTGCATAAAACCTTTGTGTGATCTCCTGGTATCTCCAGATATGAGGATCATCTTAAAGTGTCTGTATGGATTGGAAAACATTTTGAGGGCCGGAGACGTGGAGGAATACTCCCAGCTGATTAAAGATGCGGAAGGGTTAGAAAAGATTGTGAACCTGCAACACCACAAAAGCAAAGAGGTCTCCGCGATGGCTTTGGAGATTCTTGAGACATACTGGAAGAAGGAGGATGATGAGCAGACACAACAACCTCTAAAGTGATGATCTCTGGTCTTTCTGTTGTGAGAGAACCAAGTTTCAGTTCTTTCTAAAGGACTCAACTTCAGTTGTAATGTAGAGAATTTACAAACTTTTAACTCCACACAGGCACAACAACAACAAAAAAAAAAGTAAATAGAGAAAGAATAAAAGGGCATAAACGTCATTTACAGCCAAATTTGGTTCCTTTTTTTTTTCTCTCGACACTCTTCATTGTAAAGCTCTCTCTCTCTCTCTAATGGCAGTCTTCTTTTCGAACCAGTTTGGTGTTTGACATGTTTTGTGAAAGAGACGTGATCTTCTCAAAACGTTACTAAAACCAGATTCTGATCCCTTTCTTGATCTCTGTTTTCAATGTTATGAAAATAAGAGCTGGAGAAATGATCGAACAGAACAAAATTAGTGTTAGTGTAATGAAGTCTTGTGCTGATGATTGTGGTACAAGCAAAACCCATCATTCGGGTTGGCGTTGGCGTTGGTGTGGTGGTCGTAAGGTTAGAAGAGAGACCCCATGAACCCTAATTTTAACTCCGATTTGGGGGAAAATCGTCTGGGTTTCATTAAACCGGAGTTAAACCCAAAACTAAATTCAATTGGATTTAACCGGATTTGAATCCAATTAAAATCAAACCAAACCGGTTTCTCTGATGACGATAACGAAAAAAACCGTTTTTTCTCTTGTTCGCTTCTATAAAACCATCTGTTTCTTTTTTTTTTTTCTTCGCTCCTTCATCATTTTTTTCTTACTCTCAATTGCAAAAGTTCTCTTCTTCCTCTTTCACATTCGAGTTGAGAAGTTGAGATTTCTAGGGTTCTTTTCAAGTTTCGTTAACGGCTTTGGAGTAGTCGAAGAAGAGAGGAACCAAAGCTTCGTCACACGATGTTCTCAGAAGATACGAGTTTGCTCGCTGATCTTTCCTCAGACGATGATTCAAGAAAGCTTGGTTCCGCTACCAAGATCAACGAGATTCTCTTAAAGAGTAAAACTTTCTCTGTTTACTTTCTTTACTTTTCTTGAAAGATTGGTCTTTTATCGTTAAACTTGAATGTTTCTGTAAGTCTTGTTTGCTCTGTACAGGTATGCCAGGAATAGCGGATCATGATACTCAAGAGCTGATACAATCTGGAGTTATATATCGTTTGGTTTGCTTTCTTGGCGCGAAAGATTTCTCTAGGCTTCATGTTAGAAGATTTCCCCTGAGTTTCCCTAATATCAAATTGATACTTTTACGATGATCAGTGTAATCTTTGATTCTGATATTTATTCAATGATCTTTTATAGTATCAGGCAGCTTCCTGTCTAACAAGAATTGCTGTTAGTAAACCGGATCTGGTAGTTGCTTACGATGCTGTTCCAGGGCTAGTCAAGCTTCTTGCTTCAAATAGAGATTATGTCCGTGATCAGGTAAGTATTGTACTTTATGTTGTAGATATGATTGCTTTGTCACAGGTATGAGTTTTGACATTATTCTTACAGGCTATATGGGCAATATGTAATGTTGCTGTCCATCCTATACACCGTGACTATGTTCTTAACTCTGGGGCATTGGTGCCACTGTTGAATCTACTGTCCAAGAATATTAACTTGCCGACGCTAAGATTTGCCACTCTGACTTTGTGTCACTTGTGTCGTGGAACGCCTCCGCCTATCTTCGAACAGGTCTTCTTACCCATCTCTCTCTCTCTCTCTCTCTCTCTCTCTCTCTCTCTCTCTCTCTCTCTCTCTCTCTCTCTCTCTCTCTCTCTCTCTCTCTCTCTGGCAATTCGGCATGTGTGTGATGGTTCAGAAGCTGGAGTCCAGAGTGTGATCGAGTTTGGTTTTGTCCCAAAACTAGTTGAAGTTCTCCGGTTAGTACTTCTCAGAATATATACACATATATAACCCTTTGTGATATGTTTGGCTGACAAATTTTTCTTTTGCAGACACCCTTGCCCAGATGTGGTTGCTCCTGTACTTAAGTCCATTGAGACTATAGGTAGAAAGGATAATCACCAGATCCAAGTATGTAATTCATATTCCACTTGCGTTGTCCACCTTATGTACTTATGGAAGCTTATTTTTATATCACTGTACCGCTATTAGTAGGGAGGATGCAGTGCTTGCTTTGTTATATGTTCCTTGTTTATAATGCTGTGATTAGATTTTGTAACCAAACAACGAAAGGCCCTGAATAAACCTCTTTTAACTTATTCTTCAGGTTATGATCAGTTGTGGTGCTCTACCCATTCTTTCCGAACTGCTTACTCGAGACTATGACAAAGACATAAAGAAAGCCACTTTGGTTACGATTTCAAACATCACTGTAGGCTTTTACTTACAAACTCAGGTGAGAAGTTTTTGTCGCTTTATTATGTGCATCAGTTCTTGACTGTTGTAGTTGCAGAACGTCTACGTAATACAAATTTACCCTTCTGTCTGGTTGCTATCACTAATTGTGTTCAATTTTGTCTCTGTCTCCCCCTGGTGAGATAACAGTTAGTTCTTGAGGCAAATTTGGTTCCAAAGTTGGTCCATCTGGCTCAAAATACTGAACTGGACTTTAAGAACGACGTTATATGGGCAATTTCAAATGTGACCTTAGCTGCTTCTCATGATCAAATCAAGTAAGTCCTTGTCTTCTTTGTGTTTTCACTTTTAACATGCTTATTGATCATCAAGTCACAATCTCCATTGGTGTGATTCAGATACTTGGTGGAGCAGGGTTGCATAAAACCTTTATGTGATGTCCTAGTATGTCCAGACGTATGGATCATCTCAGCGTGTTTAGATGGATTGGAAAGGATTTTGGTAGCTGGAGAGGTGGAGAAGAACACCACCGGAGGCGTGAACTTATACTCTCAGCTGATTGGAGATGCAGAAGGGAAAGAAAAGATTGAGAACCTGCAACAACACGAAAGCAAAGAAATAAACGAGAAGGCCTTGAACATTGTGGAGACATACTGGGGTGTATAGGATAATGAGAAGACACAAGTACAACCTCTAAGTTGATGGATCTGGTCTTTTCCTTTTTCTTGGTGACATTTTGGTCTCTTAATACATCACTGGTTCTATCAAATGAAAGTAACAGAGGCGATAGAAGAGCTTTGGCTCCATTGTAAAACGTTTCATACTTGGAGTCTCTACTACTTTGTTACGTTTTGTGAAGTTTTAGAGTAGTTTCTAATGTTTTACTCAAAATCTGAAAAATTAAACGGCTACGATTAGATATACTCGTGAATCATCATCATTGACCACTCGATGAAACCGTATCTGATCATAACCTTACACGGTTAAAAGTGGCGCCAAAAACTAAAAACTTTACCTCAAAATTCCTTTGTTTCGCCGTTTTGGCGGGGGTGGCTTCCTCTGATAATAGATAAGGAACAAAAGGGCATTTTCGTCATTTGCTAGCTCTTCTTCTTTTTCTTCTTCTTCTTCTTCTTCTTCTTCTTCTTCTTCTATTTCTTCTCTCTTTTTCTCTGCACTCACATAAGGTAATAATAATGCTTCTGATTCGGGTATGATCTGTTGAAAATGTGATGTTGATCGCTCTGTGTTTACAGGAATTGGTTGGTTCGGAAACCATGAAAACAAGAGCTGGATACATGATCGAACCGACTTGTTCTGATGATTGTGGTACTAGCAAAACCCATCTTTGGCATGGTGCTGGTCTTGGGATTCAGGTTAGACTCTTGTAAACCCTAATTTCACTCCGATTTGGGATCTAATCCGTTCCTAAACACAAATTGAAATTTCGGGTTTGATTAAACCGGGAGAGAACTCAAAACCAAACTGAATCAATTTAATTGGGTTTGAATCCAAATTAAATTAAACCAAACCGGTTTTCTGATAACGATAACTAGTGTAAACCGTTTTATTCGTTCGCTCCTTCACCATAGTTGTTTATTGCTCTGCTCAACTGCAAAAGTTCTTTGCGTCTTTCACATTTCAGTTGATCTTTCTAGGGTTTTCTCTTCAAGCTTCGTCAGTTGCTTTTGGAGAGGTCGAAGAAGAGAGAAAGCCACGTTGCTTAAACCCCAAGCTTCGTCTCAGACGATATGAGTTTGCTCGATGACCTTGACTCAGATGAGCGTTCAAGACAGCTTTGTTCCGCTATCAAGATCAACTATATTCTACGTAAGAGTCTGTTTACTTTCTTTACTTTTCTTGAAAGATTCGTCCTTTAATCATTACACTCGAATGTTTCTTTAAGTTTTGTGCTCTGTCCAGGTAAGCTAGGAACAGTGGATCTTGATGCCGAAGATCTGATACAATATGGAATTATGTATCCTTTGGTTCGCTTTCTTGGCGCGGAAGATTTCCCTGAGCTTAATGTTCGAAGAAATTTCTAAAAAAACCCTAATCAGATTTGATATTTTTACGATGTTAGTGTAATCTTTGATTCTGATATATTCAATGGTCTTTTATAGTATCACGCAGCTTGCTGTTTAACAAGCATTGCTGCTTATAGACCGGATCTGCTAGTTGCTCATGATGCAGTTCGTAGGCTAGTCAGGCTTCTTGATTCAAATAGAAATTATGTCCGTGATCAGGTAAAAGTATTGTACTTTATGTTGTAAATGTGATTGCTTTGTCACAGTTATGAGTTTTGACATTATTCTTACAGGCTATATGGGCAATATGTAATATTGCTGGTCAGCCAACACACCGTGACTTTGTTCTTGCCTCTGGGGCATTGATACCACTGTTGAATCTACTGACACAGTCCAAGGATATTAACTTGTCGACGCTAAGATTAGCCACTCTGACTTTGTGTCACTTGTGTCGTGGCATGCCTCCACCTTACTTCGAAGAGGTCTTCTTACCCATCTCTCTCTCTCTGTTTCCTCTGTTTTTTTTTATATCCAATAATCACAACATATGAAGCATCGATTAACAGATGGGACATGCACTTGAACGACATCTTAATTCAAATGATGATGAAGTCTTGGGAAATGTTTGCGTGGCAATTATGTATGTGTGTAAAGGTTCAGAAGATGAATTCCTGGGTGTGATCGAGTCTGAATTTGTCCCAAAACTAGTTGAACTTCTCCGGTTAGTACTTGTCAGAATCTATATGCATATTTAAACCTTTGTGACATGTTTGGATATGAAGGCTGACAATTTTTTTCTTTTGCAGACACCCTTCCCCAGCTGTGTTTGTTCCTGTACTTATTACCATTACGACTTTAGTTAGAAACGATCATGATCAGATCCAAGTATGTAACTCATATTCCACTTATGAAGCTTATTATTATCATAATGTCTCTAGAATGTTTTATATCACTGCACTGCTATTAGTAGGGAAGATGCAGTGCTTGCTTTGTTATATGTTCCTTGTTTATAATGCTGTGATTAGATTTTGTAACCAAACAACGAAATGCTCTGAATAAACCTCTTTTGAACTTATTCTTCAGGTTATGATCGATTGTGGTGCTTTACCCAGTCTTTGCAACCTGCTTACTGGAGGCTCTGACATATACATAAAGAAAGCCACTTTCGTTACGATTTCAAGCATTACTGCATACTTTCAAGAACAAACTCAGGTGAGAAGTCATTGTTGCTTTATTATATGCATCAGTTTCTAATTGTTGTAGTTGCAGAACATAATACAAAGTTACCCTTCTGTTGCTATCACTAATTGTGTTCTATATTGTCTTCCTATTTCCCCTGGTGAATACAGTTAGCTGTTGAGGCAAATTTGGTTCCAAGTTTGGTCTATCTTGCTCAAAATACTGAACCGTACATTAAGAACGACATTGTATGTGCAATATCAAATGTGACCCTAGGTGTTTCTCATGATCAAATCAAGTACGTCCTTGTCTTCTTTTTCTTTTCACTTTTAACATGCTTATTGATCATCAAGTCATAATCTCCATTGGTGTGTTTCAGATACTTGGTGGACCAAGGTTGCATAAAACCTTTATGTGATCTCCTGGTGTGTCCAGATATGAGGACCATCTCAGCTTGTCTAAATGGTTTGGAAAGGATTTTGATCGTTGGAGAGGAGGAGAAGAAGAAGGCAGAAGACGTGAATTCTTATTGTAAACTGATTGAAGATGCGGAAGGGTTAGAAAAGATTGAGAGCCTGCAACAACACGGAAGCAATGAGATCTACGAGAAGGCTTTGAAGATTCTGAACACATACTGGGCTGTAATTTGATGGGCTTTGATTTAACGTGAAAGGCCCATAAACCGACAAATAAATCTCTTATAAATAAACCCTAGAAATCGAAACTTCTTGTTTTCTTCTATCCGATTAGGCTTTGTGTTTTGTCTCATGGAGAAACTGAATCATCTCTCTCTAGTTTCCAATGTCTGCAACGAATTAGAGACTCATATAGGCTCTGGAGAAAAATACTTAGCCGAGTTCATCATTGATCTTGGTCGCCACTCTGAGACTGTAGATGAATTCGATAACAAGCTCAAGGACGAAGGTGCAGAGATGCCTGATTATTTCGTCCGCTCTCTGTTAACTGTAATCCACGCTATCTATCCCAACTCTGAGAAGAAGAAAGAAGATGGTGAGGATCAGAATAAAGTGAAAGCTTTGAGGACTAAAGATACTAAAGATAGGGTGAAGGAGCTTGATAAGGAGATTGAGAGGGAAGCTGAAGAGCGTCGAAACAGGAATGATGAGCCGGAGTTGTATAAGGTATACAAAGGTAGGGTTACTAGAGTTATGGAATGTGGTTGTTTTGTTGAATTTGGTGTATTTAAAGGAAAAGAAGGTCTTGTTCATGTTTCTGAGATGGTTACTAGAGATTTCGTGAAGCTGGATATGGATGTTTAAGTGAAAGTAATGTCTTTTTTGAATGGTCGATGCAGTCTTTCCATGAGAGATGTTGATCAGGATACGGGGAGAGATTTGTTTCCTCTGAATCGATCAAAAGATGAACATGTGAGTGTGACTAGGACTGGGAAGAATATGAGCTCTCCTGAGAGATGGGAAGCCAAGCAGATGATTGCCTCTGGTGCCTTGAGAGTGGATGAGTTTCCAATGTATGATGAGGATCAAGAGGAAGGTGCTAAAGAAGAAGAAGAGGTTGAGATTGAGATGAATGAAGACGAACCTGCTTTTTTACAAGGGTAACTAAGTACTCTGTTGACATGTCTCCGGTAAAGATTTTCAAGAATCCGGAAGGTTCCTTGAGTCGTGCAGCTGCACTTCAGTCTGCCCTTGCTAAGGAGAGAAGAGAAATGAGGGAACAGCAGCAAAGAACGATGCATGACTCAATCCCTAAGGATCTGAATCGTCCATGGGAAGACCCTATGCCTGAAACTGGTGAAAGGTATCTTGCTCAAGAGCTTAGGGGCGTCGGTTTTCAGCATATGACACGCCTGAGTGGAAGAAGGATGCCGTTGGAAAAACTCCGACTTTTGGACAAAGATCAAAGCTTTCTATCCAAGAGCAAAGGGAGAGCCTACCAGTTTACAAGTTGAAAAAGGAGCTGATACAGGCTGTGCAAGATAATCAAGTTTTGGTGGTCATTGGTGAGACTGGGTCTGGGAAAACAACATAGCTGACTCAGTATCTTGCTGAAGCAGGTTACACAACAAAAGGAAAGATTGGATGTACTCAGCCTCGTAGGGTTGCCGCAACATCTGTTGCAAAGAGAGTAGCTGAGGAGTTTGGTTGTCGTTTAGGAGAGGAGGTGGGATACGCGATTCGATTCCAGGATTGTACTGGACCAGATACAGTGATCAAGTACATGACTGATGGTATGCTTCTTAGGGAGATTCTGACTGATGAAAACCTCTCTCAATACTCTGTGATTATGCTTGATGAAGCTCACGAGCGGACAATTCACACCGATGTGTTGTTTGGTCTTTTAAAGAAGCTGATGAAACGTAGGCTTGACCTTCGTCTGATAGTCACATCTGCCACACTGGATGCAGAGAAGTTCTCTACATATTTCTTCAACTGCAATATTTTTACAATTCCTGGAAGAACCTTTCCTGTTGAGATACTGTTTACCAAACAGCCAGAAACAGATTACTTGGATGCAGCATTAATCACAGTCCTTCAGATTCACTTGACTGAACCTGAGGGTGACATTCTTGTATTTTTGACGGGGCAAGAAGAAATCGATTCTGCTTGCCAGTCTCTGTACGAGAGAATGAAAGGTTTAGGTAAAAATGTTCCTGAACTCATCATACTTCCAGTTTATAGTGCCCTTCCTAGTGAAATGCAGTCTAGAATATTTGATCCTTCTCCTCCTGGTAAACGAAAAGTGGTTGTAGCTACAAACATTGCAGAAGCTTCTTTGACAATAGATGGGATTTATTATGTTGTTGATCCGGGGTTTGCAAAGCAGAACGTGTATAATCCAGCGCGAGGGCTAGAATCGCTTGTCATAACTTCAATTTCACAGGCATCGGCGAAGCAAAGGGCTGGACGTGCTGGTCGAACTGGACCTGGGAAATGTTACCGTCTCTACACGGAGAGCGCATATCGTAATGAGATGCCTCCTACATCAATCCCTGAAATCCAAAGAATCAATCTTGGAATGACAACCCTGACTATGAAAGCAATGGGGATCCATGACCTGTTATCGTTTAACTTCATGGATCGACCTAATCAGGAAGCGTTGGTCTCTGCAATGAAACAGTTATACAGCTTGGGAGCCTTAGATGAGGAAGGTTTGTTGACAAAGCTAGGTAGGAAAATGGCGGAGTTTCCTCTTGAACCGCCTCTCTCGAAAATGTTGCTAGCGAGTGTGGATCTCGGCTGCAGTGATGAGATTTTAACTATGATTGCTATGATCCAGACGGGAAACATATTTTATAGACCAAGGGAGAAGCAAGCTCAAGCAGACCAAAAACGGGCAAAGTTTTTCCAGCCGGAAGGTGATCACTTGACATTGCTAGCTGTATATGAAGCTTGGAAGGCTAAAAACTTCTCACGTCCATGGTGTTTTGAAAACTTCATACAGTCACGATCATTAGAACATGCTCGAGACATGAAGAAACAACTTCTCAGCATTATGGACAAGTAAGTAACTAAACTAGTATTGAGCTTAGCTTTGTAATGATGATGTGTGACAATCCAAGTTCAGTTTCTCAATGTGTTTTTTTTTTGTATTTTTGCAGATATAAACTAGATGTGGTAAGTGCACGGAATAATTTCACGAAGATAAGGAAAGCAATCGCAGCAGGATTCTTCTTCCATGTAGCAAGAAAAGATCCACATGAAGGTAATTACAGGACGTTAGTAGAGAATCAACCGGTTTATATACACCCTAGCAGCGCGCTCTTCCAGAGACAACCAGACTGGGTCATATATCATGATATTGTGATGACAACCAAAGAGTACATGAGGGAAGTGACTGTGATTGACCCAAAGTGGCTTGTTGAGTTAGCTCCAAGGTTTTTCAAAGTCTCTGACCCAATGAAAATGAGCAAGCGTAAACGCCAAGAACGAATTGAGCCTTTGTATGACCGTTACCACGAGGCTAACTCATGGCGTCTCAGCAAAAGACGTGCTTGAGAGACTTTTACATCTGGTAAATCTATTCTTCTTCCTTTTAGTTAAGTCACCATCGTCAAATGTATTCAAGCTAAAAGAGCAGAAGTGTAAAATTGCACAGCTGCATTTTCAGATTTCTTGACATGTATGAAACTTTGAATACTAGTCATCTTTCCTAGTTGATAATATAATCTGTCTTAGAAATTTAGCTATATGTTTGTTTATTCACTCTCATATAGAGGGGCATAGAAGTTTGATCTCAAGTTCTGGCATATTTGTGACTAGCCTTTAGAAAGTTTTAACAGTAGAAGAACATGCTTCCTCTCTTTACAGCTTAGAGAATAGTGCTAAGATGCTCAGATACAAGAGAGTGAGGTTAATAACTAAAATTTTCCAATCCTTTGCACAAACAGAGCTACAGAGAGACACTTTCAGGTAAATTCTGAATCACTTCTTACTACTTTAATAAACAGGAAACTCGAGATCAAAGACTAATTTATTTATTAGGTAAGGCAGTGAGGCACCTTCCATAGGATTGAACCAGAAAGGTAACAATTTTACGGCACAAGTCTCTGCAAAAAACAAGCAAAAAGGCTCCCCTTTGTATAAATATTTGTCACAACTAGAACAGTGAAGCAGAGGAAACTAAGTGGTTTCAAATGGTTTATGTGAAGTGTATTAGCTCCCATTTGAACTACACATACATGTTCGTAAAAAGTTACTCAAATTCTTGAATTATCTTTGCTCATTATAGAACAAACAATGGCATTTGTTAAGATCATTAACATTTACAATATTTTTACTCAATGAACATTTACAGTCCAAGAACATGTGTGTGGTTTCAAATGGGAGACAAATAAGTCCATTTCTCTCTACTCAATCAAATTTTAAACCTCGAAAATGAAATATTCTAACCAATAAAACGTTGTCCAAAAAAAAACACAAAATCTTGTTTCAACATTTAAAGACATGGATAAGTCAACGATTACACACCAAACACACAAATATTATTTCGTTTGCAGCTTAAAATATTATATGGTATGATTCATATCTACATGGCTTAATTCCCTACCACACTCTTGTTTCTTTTCTCTTTATAACCAATCTATCATTAGTATTTCAAATGTTTTCACAATCTTTTCTCTTTATAATCAAATCTTAATCATTAGTCCCAACAAAGAGAATTATGGGAATTGGAATGTAAAAGATTGAAATGAACGGCTAAGATCAAATACATGTGAATCATAATGATTTCCACACTGGACGAAACTGTACTCCGTCCCGTATCTGATCAAACACACCGGTCAAAGTGGCGCTCTTTTTTCCCTTTTCACCAAAATCACTCACACACAATAATAAGCGAACTTGTTTTTGGCGGGTGGCTTCCTCTGATAATAAAGGATAAGCAAAAGGGTATTTACGTCATTTAATAACAAAATCCTAGGGTTTAATTGAATTTCATAACCAATTTTATAAAATCGCGTTTGATCATTTGTGTCTGTCGGTTCGGTTCTGTCTCTGTGACACCTCTTTGCATGTTTTGCCAAGAGACGTGATCTTCTCTAAACCCTAGTTTCTTTGATCTCTGTTTTTTTTTTCCCTAAACCCTAGATTTCTCAATCAACCCACTAAAGATCCATTTCAACTTGGCGATCTTGGAAGTTTGAGAATGTTAGATCACAGTGACAAGGTAAGAATGATCTGCTTCTTCTTTTGATTCTTATGAATGATGATGATGATGATGATCTGGTCTGATAATAAGCTTGATTCGCTTGTGTGATTTTAGGTTTTGGTTGATCCAGAAGCAATGGAAAGAAGAGATGGAGATGTTATGATCGAACAGAGCAACAACAACAAGAAGACTTGTTCTGATTGTGGTACAAGTAAAACCCCTCTATGGCGTGGGGGTCCTGCTGGTCCTAAGGTGTGACACTTCTATAAACCCTAATTTCACTGTTTGATCTGGTCTCTAGTCTTGCCTCTTTGGTCTGATCTGATATGTTTTTGGTTTTTTGTTGTATGTAGTCGTTGTGTAATGCGTGTGGGATTAGAAACAGGAAGAAGAGAAGAGGAACTACAGAGGATGATGATGATGATAAGAACAAGAAACTGAAGAACAAATCGAGTTCTGGCGGCGGAAACCCTAAATTTGGTGAATCACTAAAACAGAGGTTGATTGATTTGGGGATGAAGAAGAGTCAATCAACGGTGGAGAAACAACGGCGGAAGCTCGATGAAGAAGAACAAGCCGCTGTGTTACTCATGGCTCTCGCTTATGGCTCTGTCTACGCTTAGTGGTTTTTTATCATCTGGATCACACACACACACAATATGATTAGAGTTTAAAGAGCAATGATGATGATGATGATGATGATGAGTGATGATGACTAACAAAAACGAAAGTGAAATTTTTGTGTTATTTCCAATCAATTTTGGGTATCTCTATGTTGTGATTTTGGAAATCACAAAAAAGTTTTGGAAGTTGTTGATGAAGAAGAAAATAATGTTCGGTGGTTAGTATTATTATTAATTTATTTGGAACATTTGTTTTAAATTATTTGTTTCTGTGTTGAAAATTTTGTCTTTATTAAGACAGGAATGGGACTTGTCTACCTGTTAAGCACAGATCTTGTAAATTTTAAAAAAAAAAAAAAAAAAAAAAAAAAAAAAAAAAAGAGAAAAGTATAGAAATTTTAAAGTTTAAAATAAAATAAAAAAGATTAAAAATGGTTTTCATAATGTCAAATTGTTATTTTCTGAATTTGCCTGCTCTAAATCATATTTAACAAAATTATGGTATCAACAAATAGTAATATGATGTGTCAACAGAAAAATTGTTATTTTACTATGGTTTTGGAATAATCATTTTGGTGTTACACATATTAATGATATCAACAAATAGTAATATGATTTGTCAACATTAAAACAATACTCCTGTAACACATGTCTTGTAGTTTGTTTGTTTTTTTATAATGACATGTCTTGTAATTAGGTAACACGAATCTTGGTCTGGCCGCATGGGAATTACTACTACTATTCGACCAAACTAAATGTGTTTTTGTTTTGTTGTGAATCAAAGTCCAAATCGCCGCTATGTATAATGTCGACTCTTGTGTTTTGTGACCTTGCTTCTTCATTCTGTATAAGGCCATAGCCCAGTTATCGGATTAGGCCTGAAGCCCATTTTAAGTTACTATGTTGGGCATAATATATGCATGTGAGCATGTCATCTGTGAGTGTGATTAAGTCTACTATACCAAAGCTTCTAACAGAATCAGGGTCTTCGGCTTCCACTTCTGCAAAATTGCAATTTACTTTGCCAAAAGAAAGATTAATGGGCCAAAACAATTTGATGAAGCCCAACGACGCTGGTTCATTAATCTCTCCAATTCTCAGCCTAACTAACAGAACTCGTCGTCTTTTCCAATTGTTTTGACCCATTAAAAAGGAAAAAGCTTTCTATATATGGAATGGACCACTACACCATGAAGATGGACACATCGACTCCTAAGGGCATCCTCATTGGGGGTATCTTAGGAGGATAAGATACCCCCACTTTTCCAAAGAAAATCCTTATATAACATATTTTCTTTGAAAAAGTGGGGGTATCTTAACCTTCTAAGATACCCCCAATGAGGATGGTCTAAACAACACCACTACATTGAAGTTTGAACCAATGTAAATATACTAAAGCCAAGCCTCAATGATATATTGAACAGCTCTTAAAACGTCGCTCTTTTTTACAATGGTGATGAGCAATCGTAAGAGTCGAATCGGGTAAAAATATGTCAACAATATATATATATAATTAGCTGGCCATGCCATGCCGTACGTGGTCCGCTCAAATGATCTTTTACGTAACTAAATGGAGCGACCGGTTAGTAAAATGTATCGAACAATAGTGTTCTGGTTGGTGCGGAGAATGTGGTAAAGGTTGGTGGAAGATTGGATTTGCATGGCCAAAATGAGTAACTCGTGACATTTAAGGGCTGCGACGTCTTGGAGGTGGTTCAACGCAACACGATTCTTCGGACAAGATTGATCTTTGGGCACATGTCAAACATGGAAGTTTCAATCTCTTTAGGTGTCATTTTTGCCTCCTTCTTTGGCTTTATACGTAAATCTGTTTCATTACTTTTGTTCTCCATTTTATATATAGTGTTTTCACTTTTCAAATATAACTTAGATGTTGAAGATTTCGTACTATATCAAAATTTAAAAGTCGGTGTTTTTCAATATGTCAAAACAAAATAAAAGTCGTCGTAGTGTTTGTGTGTTTTATTTTTTAATTAGACATTTATAGTACTGGTTGAAAATATGATCGAATGAGTTATAAAAGACTTGAAAATATAAACACATGTAGTTGACAAAAAAAAATTACAAAGTATTTCAAAAATCTAATAAATGAGAAGAAAATTATTAAACGTAGGAGTTGAAATTATATGATATGAGTATCCTAATCTCGCTGATGCGTCCAATTCTCAAAAACTCACTGGGACAATAATACGAAGTATCCATGATATGATAATAAGTAACCATATTGTATAGCAACATTTTGTTCTACTGATCAAACAGTCAAAAGTTATACAAAAGATGTTCTTTTAAATTGATTAGTAGAGTGGTGAACTAAGCTATAGATTTAAACCAAAGTAAAATTCTCACCAACACACATATTCTCTTTAGACTTTAGCAGTTTAGCCATTGCAGAATTCACATAACTGTTGTAAACTTTAGAGATTAGTTTAGGATTTGGTAGCTATTCTTAATTAAGTATCTTTTTAAAAAAAAACATAAAAAGTTCCAGCTAGCATTAACAATTGGTCCGAGTCACTAAAGCAAAACAAAAATATCCACCTTTTGAAACCATATTAGCTTTAATCATGACCTTCACCATAATAAGCATGGTTTCAATCGTCTGGTCATTTTCTATTTAAGTCTAAAGCTTGTTCAAATTTTGTGACCGGAATCATCATACTTTAAAAGAGTTAAAATCCACACGATTAAGAAAATTTCCAATATGTTATGTGACTTTCGATCTCTTCCACAATGTTTACATATTCTTATGCAATGAAAAAAATAAGGCATCTGAATATTGGACAAACATCCGACCAATGCCGTTCACGAGCTGATTTTCAATGTTCATAGAAAATTTCCAAGTTTGATTTTCACGAGCTGATTTAGGTTTGAAAACGATGTACTTGAAAGTTGTGTACTTAGTTAAAATTGTGAGTGCATGATAGTGTGATTTGGAAACAGTATAATTAATTACCACATATGCTCATTTTAAATATACATATCAAACATAATAATGCTCATAATTAGTACAGCATTGTATTATGCATATGGAGTAATGTTTATGTTTTCTGTACACACACACGAAGAAAACTCCTTCGAATCCTTAGCACTAATGAGTGTTGTTGACATTAGAGCTATACATGCCAAAATTTCTCAAAACTTAATTTATTTTTCGAAACTAAAAAAGTTGTTGAAAAAAAGAAAAGAAAAAAAAAAACTCTTGAATCGGCACTTCCGTCATCTTCACGTCTACTCTTCGAAAGCTAACACCAAAGAAACCCAATAAGATACATCCACGTTTGAAAGCTTGTAAAAGAGTCAAGCCCCACTATAATGACCACTACAACTTTTTTGTTTTCTGTTTTTGAAGATTCTCTTTCTCTTCACCACCCTAACCCTACTTGGCTCGTCGACGCAGCAGCCGCCACGAGACCGCCACGGAACTAGGGGTTTTATCGTCATTTCAGACATTACAAGAGCTGACGTGACATATTTGCCCCCGACATCCGCGTATTTCCGGTGCTTTATTACAAAACCTTCGGTTATAAAAAAGGTTAACGTGTCCTCGTCAACCTTTTTTTTTAATTGCATTCACTATTCATTTCTTCTTTTTTTTTTTAAATAACACTTTTCTTTTTCTTCTTAAACAAATTTAGTTTTAATCATCTTAGAAAAATATAAAAATAAAAATTAATACTAACGATAATACGGTAAATAATTTGACATGCACCAAAAAAATTTATAATAAACATGTTAATACTACCATATTTACAATATAAACCATACTAAACAATAAAAACTCCAATAAATTTACATTTACTAGTTTCAATCTGATAGTAGTAGAATTAAATAAACTCTTTATTAGTAATAAAAACACTCCACCGAACTTTCACTAATTATTTATTTCTTTATTTAATCAAACACATTTTGTTTATGATGAAACATAATTTTAAAAGACCATTTATAAAAAAAGAAGAACACTCCTCTCCTCCTTCTCTGAACGTGCTTCTCCTTCTTCTTTCCCACTCCCTTACTCTTTTCTCTTTTCTTCCTCCTCTCTCATCTCATCTTCTTCCTCTTTTGTTCATATCATTCACACACAAAAAGAAACTTCTAAAATCCGATCTCCGACAATGGAAACAAACCAGTACTTATACACTTTCTCTACAGTTCTTGTTCTGTTTCTAGTGTCAGTAACACCGACAGTTACATCTAAAGACGAGGTTGTTTCTTGTACAATGTGTTCTTCATGCGACAACCCTTGTAGTCCAGTCCAATCATCTCCTCCTCCACCTTCTCCTCCACCACCGTCAACTCCCACCACAACCGCATGTCCTCCTCCTCCTTCTCCTCCTAGCTCCGGTGGCGGTAGCTCTTACTATTACCCTCCTCCTTCTTCTCAGTCAGGTGGTGGCAACAAATACCCTCCACCGTATGGTGACGGTGGTCAAGGCTATTACTATCCTCCGCCTTACTCAGGAGGAAACTATCCTACTCCTCCTCCGCCGAACCCGATCGTCCCTTATTTCCCGTTTTACTATCATACTCCACCACCAGGTTCTGGCTCAGATCGGTTTACTAGTTCTTGTTCTGTTCTTTTTGCTCTTTTTGCTCTTTTTCTCTGTTTAGTGTGACCGGAACAAAATCGTCGGAAAAAAAGTCATCGGAATAATGTGGAAGATGGTTAGATCTACAAATCTTTGATCATGGGATTAAAAAACCAAATGATGTTGGATCAAATCATTATCTTTTTACTTTTTCTTCGATCTGTTTTTAACTTTTTTTTTTCTTTCTTTTGTTGTTGACAAATTTGTATTTAATTGTTCTTGATAATTATTAATTAACATATTCAGAATTCAGAAAATAAAGAATTGTTTACTTTATATATAATATATGTGCTCTTTTAGTGGTTTACACTCAATTAGTTCAATTTTAACACTATTTTGTCGGTTGGGTTGATTTATCCTTATCTCAGTATTTAGTTAATTAACTAATCCTGTCGTTTTTTCACGACTAATGGGTCAAAACAATACAGTAATTAGATTAGTCATACAATATCCATTGATCAGCTAAATTCACGGCTACTAGTAATCTTTTTAATCATTGGTATTAGTTTATAATAATTCACATGTGATTGTCGTTAAATCAGAATATATCTATTAAGTATTTTTCAATTATTGTGAATTCGCACATGCAAGAAAATTCTATGGCTTAGCCAGCTTTGTTCCAGCTAAATTATGCATCGATTATTAAAAAAAAATACTATTCGCCTTTGTTTAGCTTGAGACGGTGGAAATTTTTATGTTGACCTTAATGTAAGCCGTAAAAAACTTAAAAAGAGTATTAAAATACGGATTAATACACAAAGTAAAGATAGTTTAATTACTATTTGGGTTAGTGGCAATTAACCCAAGAAAAAGTTGTTGAGGGAGTGGGACAAAAGATCAATGGTCTGTCTCTTCAATGAATACTCCATTGATCTTTAATTGTTTATTACTTAGCTTACTATTGTCGTTGAATATTTGTCTGTAATTATTGATAAAAATGTTGCTGACACTCTCGTTGGCGTAGAGATTTTGAGTTACTTGATCAAGCATACCTTATCTTATACCCGCAATGATGTGACCGTAAGAATCCGAAGGCTCAAAGCAGAAACAATATTTGGGCCACAAACACACACACACTCATAATTGATTTTTTAAAATTAAACGTTATAAGCGTTTTACCAAAAAAAAGATTATAAGCAAAATTTAAGGGCATAGATGGTTTCCAAGGGCCTACGACTAAGCAGCCCCGACCCAATATGGAAACACACGATCGGTCTCCAGGCTTATGTCAGTTTTTTCTTTTCCTATAAATAATTTTACTTGTTGCTTCCAACCAAAGATGAGATGGACATCTAATCATTGCATGGAGAGTCTTCTTGAGTTGACTATGAGCGGGCCAAGTTTATGTTTATGGCAGCTCTAAACATTATTTCTCGCCCGAATTCATACAAAAGTCTCATCGGTGGAGCCGTGGAGGTGGTTAGTTTTCTTATTTGAAGTACAAAACCATAACATTTCCTATTGTAAACCTTAACTCATCGACCAGTCGCATTGGTCTTTTATGACTTGAGCTCCGATAGTCATTTGGAGGACCTAGCTCCCACATGTTCGTATGACTGAAAAAACTATATACAGAATGGGCAAAGGAGTGTTCGCGTTGCCATATGTTAGGTTTACAAGTATAGTTAGACTTAAGCTAGCATAGATTTGTTTGATCCCTAGTTATTTACTAAGAGCCTATTAGGTTATTTACTTTGGCATTTAAATTAATTTGTATTTATAATAGAAATATCTAACATATCTTAGATGAATTTAAAGAAGATTAACAAACAAAAAAAAAATTAAAAAGAAAAGAACAGAGACAATTCAGACTTACCTTGTATAGCTGTATATATTGGGCCTAGATCATATCTGTAAAGTTCAAGTCCAAAATATCGAGTCGGACCACCACATAGAATGATAGAATAGATCTCAAATATATACAGACATTACGACGATCCCTTAAATCTTTTAGAAATATGTTGGCATGTTGTTGGAATGATCGTGTCATGCCTATGTTGTGAAAAACTAATAATTTTAATTTGCGTTCACGTCTCAGCAGCTATTATATTCTCTTCTTCATTATCAGATCTTCCAACGTGCGTGGCACGAGTTCTAAACCCAAAACCCTCTTAGACGTGCATCCTAGTATCCTACAACGTTTTACCATAACCTCGCTCCTATGATTATAGCACTCGCGTTACACTATTTGTTTCATATAGACCAAATTAAACAAACACAACCAGTTTAGGTTCTTGTTTAGTTTCTTTCTCCAAAACGCACAATGGGACTACTCCTTCCGAATTTACTCGGAGTGTTACTCTTATTAACCCTTACTCCACCGTCTATGTCTCAGCTCCCTCCAACAATAATGGCTCCAGCCCCTGCGCCAACTCCACCATCAGATCTTTGCAACGGAATCTTTCTCTCTTACGCGTTCATACTCGGCCGCAAGATCCCTCCAAACGATACAAGCGACCAGCCTTATCGGTTTGAGTCAGTCCTCACGGTTCTTAACAATGGCCGTGAAGAGCTCAAAGAATGGAGAGTGTTCGTTGGATTCCAACACAACGAGATACTTATCTCAGCCACCGATGCGTTGATCGTCAACGGAACTGAGCTTCCTGCTTTGGTAGGAAACGGCACCATCTTTGGTGGCTATCCTGTCTCTGACCTCAAAACGGCCATTCAAACGGCCGGAGACTTGAAACAAATGACGGCTGAGATCGAGCTTGTCGGGACTCAGTTCATGGTGGCTCCTCCAGCTATTCCTTTGCCGTCCAACATATCGCTTGTTAATGATGGTTGGCTCTGTCCTGAGCCTACTCTTCAAAGTAAGTTACTCCTATCAATTCTATTTTTACCTTATGTTTTGTTAAATATTTCATATGGTAATTGTTCATTTTCAAATTTTGTTCTAAATATAGTTAGGAGATTTTATAGTTTTATACATTTTAACTGATTTAGATATTATTTTAACGAGTATTTAGAAATTATAAAATAAGTGAATCAATATATTGAAAAAAAAGACTACTGATTTGTAAAATATTGGGTAATTTTTACAATGCAATTAAATTATCATATAACAAAGAAATACAGTTTGAAGTTTAAATAGCATTTTTTTCTAACTCAAACAATTAAATATGTACCATTAGGCAAAAGAGAGATAACGACGTGCTGCAAGAGAGACGCGAGCGTTAAAGTCAACACAACAATCACCACCAAATTCTTCCCACGACAGCCTGGAGACTTGACCATAATGTACGACGTGATCCGAGCCTACGACCAGAACTACCTAACCGAAGTAACCATGGAAAACCACAACCCACTAGGTCGGCTCGACCATTGGGAGCTTAGTTTCGACTGGATGCGAGACGAGTTCATACAAAAAATGCAAGGCGCATATCCAACGGTCGTGGACGCTACAAAATGTATCTTTGGTCCTCAGTCCCTAATCTACACTGGTCTCGATTTCGCTGACGTTCTCACCTGTGAGAGACGACCGGTCATCGTTGACTTGCCTCCGACCAAAAAGGATGATCCTATATTAGGCAAGATCCCTTCTTGCTGCAGGAACGGTACTATCTTGCCACCTACCATGGACCCTTCTAAATCAGTATCCGTCTTCACGATGCAAGTTTCTAAAATGCCTCCCGATTTCAACCGTTCCGCACTATTCCCACCGCAGAACTGGAGGATCAAAGGGACCTTAAACCCGGACTACTCGTGCGGGCCACCCGTTCGGGTTAGCCCGACTTTTTATCCGGATCCGAGTGGTATGCCCACCAATAAATCATCTTTCGCAAGTTGGCAGGTCGTATGCAACATTACACAAGCCAAAACCGAGATACCAAAATGTTGTGTATCCTTCTCTGCTTTCTTTAACGACTCGATCATTCCTTGTAACACATGCGCTTGTGGTTGCGTTTCCGAAACGCGACGCACCTGTAACGCTGAGTCACCGTCACTTCTCATCCCTCCAGAGGCTCTTCTCTTACCTTTCGAAAACAGAACCTCTCTTACGCTTGCTTGGAACGCACTCAAGCACAAAGCCGTCCCTAACCCGATGCCGTGCGGGGATAATTGCGGCGTATCGATAAACTGGCACATGGCCTCGGACTATAGAGGTGGTTGGACCGTGAGGATCACGATTTTCAATTGGGGAGAAATCGATTTTCCAAACTGGTTCCTCGCGGTACAGATGAAGAAACCTGCGCTTCTAGGGTTTGAGAAAGCCTACTCGTTCAACGCAAGTCTCCTAAGCGTAGACGGAAGTGTCAACAACACCATTTTCATGGAAGGTCTTCCGGGTCTAGACTATCTTGTGGCGGAGGCTGATGAAAAAGATCCAAAGAAGAAGAAACTTAGGGTTCCAGGTAAACAACAGTCGGTTATACAGTTCAGCAAGAAACTCACGCCGGGGATTAATGTGGCGGAACGTGACGGGTTTCCGGCGAAAGTGATATTTAACGGCGAGGAATGTTTGCTTCCAGATATACTTCCGATGGCTAGTAGTGGCAGACGAAATGAGTTTATCACGGTTTTGTCTTTTATAACGTTTTATGTTGCCGTGTTTATGATTCGGTAATAAGCTTTTTTTCTTTTACTAGGGTTTATTATACTTTGTTTTGTTTGATTGATTAATTTGTTTTGTAAAATTAAATTTGACCTTTACTCTATACAGCTGCAGTTGTTTGTAAAACTATATTCTAGATTTTTATTTTGCCTTCTATAATACCAAAAAATTATGAACGCAAAAAGTTATACATGGTATTGGAATACAAACCAATATCTCACATCGGAAGATTAGAAAAAGAAGTTTCTAATATATAGGTCAAGTCCAATTATAATTAGTATGAGGTTTTTTGGAAAGGAACCCAACATATTAGTGCGAGTTTGAGTTTTAGGCTTAAAACGGACAATATCATACTAATGGAAAGTTGGCTTGGTTTAGAGAGCCCAACATGCCATAGTTCGCATAAACTTAAAAGTAAAATAAAAGGTATATATACTCAACGTTACGTATTATTGGTAACAATCCCTTTAGCCGTAAAATATATAGTCGACATAGTTTTGTAACGTTCGGGTTTAGCTAAAAGAAGATATTCTTGTAACATTGGGTCCTAAAAACTTGGTATAAATGTTTACTACGTAGAATATGTATAAATATTTGAAATATGATGGTATGTTATACATATTCCCTCTACCATAGGGATTTTTTGGAAATATAAATAGAAATTATCCCTCTAGTATAGGGATTTTTATATAACGTGATTAATTAAGATAGAATTGAGTGAGATTATATATTAAAAAACAAAGTTTTAGAGGTATATACTATATTTTTAGATATATTTTTACTTATTCAATCTTATTTTTACGCAGCAAGATTTGTTAGCGTGATCTTTAAAGAATCTGAATAATTTTTTTAAATTCTTGGACCTCCCCCCGAATCTTTTTTTTCCAAGACTTCTATATAAACCCCCAATGGCCTCTCCCATCTTTAAACCCTATTCACTTATTTCACTAAGTTCATTACTATAGCTAATTCGTTTTTTTTTTGTTTTTCCTTTTTGTTTTGGTACAAAGATTGAGATCCAATGTCGGACTAGAATTGACTTGCGGAATTTTCAGTCTCCATGTAAATTTCGCAATGATGAAACAAATGATGCGTCCAATATAAATCGATACGTGACCTTGACCAAAATGATAATGATCATGATCAAAGTATCGTTAGTTATTTAGATTATGTTTGGGTTTTCGAGTATAAGAAACGTTATAACGTTTTTCTTCATCCACAAGTTGACGAAGTAGAAACATTTTCTACAACTATTTTGTTTTGTTTTCCTTTGTTATCTATGAATTAGAGAGAATATTGATAGGAGCATTAAACCCGCTCTGCAACCTCATTATCCCATCTGTTATATCGTGAGTGAGTGACTAAGTAATGATGCAAAATGATATTTTCCCTATAAATATTTGTCTTCGATTTGAGAACCAGGCAACGCTTGATTCAAGCGATATATATTAGTTTGTTTTTATTTTAAAGATAATTTTTTTTTTTGAATATGATAAAAGCAAAGTTCAATATTTTTTCTTTTTGTTCATAAAAAGACCCATTTTAAAGGTTATGTTTTATTATATATGTAGCTAATATAAATATTGTTTTTGATTTTTGTTTAACTTAGTTGGCTGATGTACGAGGTCCTCTAACTAAAAGAAGTGTTGTTGGTGTTTGTCCATATGAACATTCAATGAACTATTTTTATTTTAACTTTACATTCGATGTTTTCTTTCTTAGGTTATGTGTGAGTTTTTAGTGCAGCGTTTGATTTATCGCGTAAATGAGCAAGCATTTCAATATGAAATCTTGGCAATCTTATCTCGGATAAAGCAATGAACTTCCCAATTCAGTGATCGAGTTTTCTTCTTTAGATATTGAATCCGGAATCGTACGTATGTAAGTTATTTACGCTTTTGGAATTTAGTCGAAACTGGCAATGTAGACTTTTTTAATCAAAATTTAGTTTATTTGCTATGATTTAGTTTTGTATCACGTTTGATATTGTTTTTCATATAAGAAAATGTGATTTTTTATGGCATACTACTAGTCTTTGTTATACATTATCCTCCATGCATGCAATAGATTATTACGTTATTAATAATGTATACATTATCCTCCATGCATGTTATATTTTTCTTGAAGTAATTTGATCTTAATAATTTCAGCGCGTCGTTCCTGTTTATATTTCTACTTCTAGTAGAAATGTATGGTCATCATTGTGAACTTTTTTCTTCCAAAACGTTATGAAATATATTATATTTTGACATTTTCATTACTTAACCAATTTTTTTTTTAGACCTTGCAAGAACATACATTATATGTTTTGCATTTTTGCATATTATGCTGATGATGTAAACTAGGACGACCACATGCATTATTAGTTGTTGGAGAAGGAAATACGACTTATTCAATGAAGAATTGAAACACTTACAAAATGTTCAGTTTTTGCAGCTTCTTATTTTGAATGAAGAAAGAAATTAACCTAACTAGCTGCTTATTGACTTGACTCGCAAACAATGCATGTCAACATGTAGAAAAGAGAGAGAGAAGAGAAGAATCCTAGGAAGCCACCTAAAATATAGATCGTAAACACCAAACCCTAGAAATTTTATAAGTTCAAATAGACAAAAGAAGTTGTAATATCATCTTCAGTCTCCATACTTGGCCCCGATCGTGACCCATCTTGATCCCTTCTTGCATATCCCAATCTTGTATTAGTCTTTAACATAACCCAATCAAACTCATCACCGAGTAAGATTAAGTTAACCTGTTGTTATTGTTGACGGGCACTGTTGTAGTTGAATCCTCCATTTTGTTGCTATACACGAAGAACACACTGAAAAAATAAGGATAATACATAGCGTCTATTCAATAAACGTAAGAAACATATATAAGCTTCATCACCTGATCACAATAACTATGTGTTTGAGGAGGAGAAATTAATGCTGGTAAACGTGACATGGGTGGTGAAATCTCAGTTTCATGATTGTTCCTCATGTTGAAAGAACTAAACTCCATGTGGAGTGGGTACAACTCTATCTGTTCCCTGTTCGGTGTTGACATTAAGTGTGCAACGTCCGTTGACTCATCCTCCTGAAAGTTGGCATAACCAAAATGTTGTTCTGTAGTGACCTCATCCCTCTGATGGTGATTCATCCCTACGCCTCCATTGGAAGGCATAGCAAAGGCTTCATTATAATGATGTTGGAGTTGTGGTATTTGATGTGTCATGGGATTATTAGGGTTCATGGTGTGTTGCTGCACAAAAGAATTAGGTTGAGGAGGAACATTGCTGATGTGTTGTGTTGGGAATTGGACATTTCCTCCATTGAAGAAGTTTGATGCGTCTCCTTGCACAAACATTAATCCTTGTTGTGGAGTTCTGAAAGATTGGTTTGTTGGTACCTCATTCTTAATCTTATCACTCTCCTTCTTCAAACCCAATCGATATTTCTACAAAAGAAGATTAATACAATATATAAATTCTTTTTTTTAACCATAGTTAACTTTGGCAAATATTTAGATTAGTTGAACTTATTTAGAAAATAACTAAATCAACAAAACAAATCATTGGATGCCTTTATACGTACTTGTCATATATTTAATACGACAATATAACCACTTTGTTTCTAAATGAGAAAAAATTTATAATAGGATTAATTACCCATTATTATAAAGTTCCAATAAAATTAAAATATTTAAAGCAAATACAAACTTAAAACCACACTACTTATAATCTTAATTAATATGGCTGTATCAGTTTCTGCAATTCTATATATACACGTTAGATGTCATGAACTATATTGCACACCAATTTGAAAAAACGGAAAATGTCTGAATCAGTCTGATGTGATTATTTTACATAAGTAATCTAAAAATCACACTACTCAATACCTTTTAAACAAAATAACTAACAAAATGATGTAGATGCATTTAATTGGGTGAAGACCTCTCCTATTATTTCTCCTAAATCTCTAACTGTAAAGATAAATAAGGTGGGTAATGAGTAAGATAAAATAAAATGAATAATATTCGTAAGACAGTCTCTTTTAAATCATCTAAAATTTTGAAAAACTATTTTACTGATGAAAATTAAAAATGGAAACTGTAAAGAGAAATATAGTTGTTCGAAAATTGGTTTTAGTCTATTTCCGTAAAGACTAATACTATGATAAAATATTTAAAAATGTACACTAATTAGTGCCTGGCGTTTTTTCGACCAGTGATAAATATTTTTAATATCTTATTGTTATATAATCTTTAAATCATAGAAGATTTTAACACATCTCACATATATTTTGTAGTTGATATCTGTAAAAAAAACTCCTAATTCTTAGACAAATACATTAAAGTATAGATCTAGAACGAGTTTTTATTAGGTGCAAAAAATGATAAAATAGTAAGAGCACCATTAGAGCATGTTCAATGGTGGTATGTAATTAAAATTTCTTAGCATTTTATACTAATAAATTGTGTAATTTTTTAAAATAATTTTTTTTGAAGATAATTAAAATTATCCACTTCCAATGGTAAAACTCTTAATTGGAGTTCTTATAAAAATTAATTTGAAAACTAAAATTTTATAAAACATGAAAATTATTAATTTTTAACACACATAATATAAAAACATCATTAAAACATAATAAAAGATGAAATTGTTTCGAGAGAGAGAGAGATGAAAAGTTTTTTACTTTGGTGGGAAGAGATTTTTTGTTGGAAAAGAAAGATAATTTCAAAAATATCTCTTTTCAAATACAACTTTTTAAAAATACTCAATTTTCAAACTTTATAAAAAAAACCACTAAAAATGTTAAATTTACCCAAATATGTGTGTAATCTTATAAATATACACACAAAATACCTTTTTATATGTACAAAATTTTATATGTCTTTCATAAATAGCGTAAAAATAATTTATATAAACCTCATAAACCCTTTTAAAAACCTTATAAACTTGAATAAACGATTTAAAAATGTTTAAGACATTATACAATATTTGTATAGAATCTACCAGTATTAGGTATTATATAAAAGTATCTTATAAACCATATAAAACATTGTGCCAACACATGTCCCTAAGAGCATGCACATCGGTTGGTCGTTCTCCCCAAACTTTTTTTTATTTTATTTTTATTTTTTTCCAAATCTTTTGAATTTTAAAAAAAAAATGTAACCAATCGCGGGCCGCCACGTGTCAGTGGGCCCGAGATTAGTGAAGGAAAGAAAACGGGACGTCCGGTTTTAGTTGTCGACCCATTTTTTTTTTTTTAAAGCTATGGGACCAAGGGGGTACGCTAATGCCTTTGCTCTAAGAAACTAACTCAAAACTTCTTAACTAAAGAGATATATTTCGCTTAATATTGATTTTTGATTTAATTTTTGTCATTTTATTTCTAAGATACAAGTTTGATTACCTTTTAAATAAGAGCCAATCCATTTGTCTCTTATTTGTTGTTGTTGAACATTATAATGATGTGTGTAGTATATACAAGAAGAAACGTTACCTGGAGATGACTGGCTACGTTTTCTCGACTGAGGTTTTCAACATTCATTTGCTCTAAAATTTTCTTGGGAACAGCTTCTGTATGAAAGATCCAAATCATTCACATATTTATATATACATATCTATAGAGAGAAAGAGCTAATTAATGAATCGGTATATGAACAAATAGTGTTTGAATTGTATATGTGACTCACTTTCGAATCCAACACTGTTCACTGCGTCGAGAAACCTTTGATGAAGCTCAGTGTCCCAAACGACTCGTCGTCTTTTCTTGGAGGTAACACGATCATGATCATGATCCTCCTCGTTGACGACTTCTGCGTTAGGGCAGCTACTTCTTTTGCCGGCCTGGTCATCATCAGGACTTCTTATGGTGGAATCTCCCACCGAAGATGACTTCTCACGTGCTGCTGCTTTCTCTTGATCTCCCTCTACGGTCACCACACTCCTCCTTCTTCCAAGAAACTTCTTCACCACGTGTTTGAATATCATCCGCAGATCTTCGGGTCGTATCGGTTTTATTAGATAGTCACAAGCAGTGGTGGTACTCATCCACTTCACCACTGATTCTACTGAGTCGTCTTTAGATATTACTGCGATACATAAAATGTTCTTTTCGTTGTTGCATTTCGAAATTATAGGTTTAGTCCAATGTAAACAACATGATGATGATTATTAAATATATTGATAATATGATTAGATTCTTACTTATGAATGATATATCCATTTCTGATCCGATTTCCGAGATAAACCGGATCCTATCACCGTCTGAATTATTTGCATGTATCATAGCGATGTCGAACATATTCCTATGGTCACGGAGTAGAGTCATAGCTTCACTCTCTTCGTTGCATGTAGTCACTACAAAACATTACACATTGTTATTTAAAATGGACAGATCTGGCCGTGGTACAAAACATAAGTAAAGATCCGTGTGATAGGGTTCGTGTCTAAAACATAGGTCAAATTTTGGGAGATTTTTTTTAGGGTTTTTGTTTTTTTTTTTGTTTTTTTGTTTTTAGAACATTGAAAAATGTTAGACCAGCGTTGAATATAGATAGACTTCAAATGTAAAAATAGATCAACTTAAAAAAAATTGCTTGGAATGATCATATAAGCTAAACCTCGGTATCGAAAAGCTTGGAGATGTCTCTCTAATATGAGAAGATAGGCAGGATCTTCATCGAAGACTAAGACTCGCAAACTCTCCGGGAAGTTTCTTGGAAACACATCGGAGAAATTTGGATGCTGATCTCCAAATGGATCACCACCACCGTCACTAGCCGGAACTCCACCGTGGTCGAAAGTCACAGCCATCGGTGGCTGCAAATAACACTCTGCGTGTTTTTTTGTGAAGGTCTCCGGCTTTTTTTCCGAGTCTACGTTCACCCTTTTAACTGAGAAATATTCTGATATTATCGAATAATTAAAAATATTAATCATTTTCAAATGAGAAAAATTAGGAAATCGACCCCCAAAATCATTATCTTTGTAACAGAATTTTAGATTTTGAAATCTTCGAAAAATGAAATACATAGATGAGTTGTCGATTTTACATTTAAATCTCGTGTAAATTTATTAGAGTTCGAAAAAAAGATTTCGGACCTTAAAATTTTTTTTTTTAGATTTTACATATAAACCGCATGTTCAGTTTCTTGTTCCAAAAAAATCACATATTGTAAGTAAATCAAAGAAAGTGATTTGGAATAAGCCAACAAAAATTGTTTGAAAATAAGGAGGGAATACGAAAAAAAAAAAGCTCAACCGATGTTAATGTCGAGACATGAGTTATGTGGCTAACTATAAACATTATGCTATAAAAACTCAACTAATTATTTTAAACACACAACAAACTTCGCTACGATGATCCTAGATAGACTTCAAATGTTGGGTTTAAAAGAAAGAGGAGGGAATACAAAACTCAATCAATGTCGATGCTATGCATGCGATAAAAAACTTAATCAATCATTTTAGTACACTCATAAACACAACAAATTAACCTCGCTAGAATGACACTAGTCCACTAAAATAAAATGAGTAATACTCGTACATATGGTTCGGTATGTTATATTTTTAAATCATCTAAAAATTGAAAAACAAAATTGACAAAAAAAAATGAAAACTGTAAAAGAGAAATATAATTTTTCGTAAACTTGTTTTAGTTTTATTTTCCGTTAAGACTACTACTATGATAAATTAGAAAAGTATTGATCTCTATAACATATGCATTATAAATGTTTAAACATCTTATAATAAGACTATTATAAAATCTTTAACTTTCTTATAAGTCCTATTATTATAACTTAGTTGTACAATCCTATAAATATTATAACTACCCTATAAAAGGTACAAACATGATAATTTTAAAATTTGGCAGTAAATATAGTGGATTTTGAAACATCTCATACTATATTGTGGCATCCATTAAAAACTCATAATTCTAAGATTAGGTCAGAAGAGGACAATATGTTAAAGCATATATAGTTATATATCTTAGCAAAAAAATAATATAATTACACATAGTCCATTGGTGGTACTGTCGTAGAAACGAACAGATTTCAACTTCTATTATTATGTTTTGTTGTTTTATAGTTAAAACTTCTTTCATTTTGTTCCATAGTTTTGTTGTTATTTTTTATATCATTTAAAAAGAAAATATGGATCCCCTATAAATATTAACATCTGAGATAAGCCAAGTAGCCAACAAAACTATTTAGTTTAAAATTTAAAGGTAGGGGATTGATTAATTAACATTTTTATAAGGATTTCTGCAATATAAAATCAATACTATTCGATAAAACAAATTAAATAACTTAATCAGATCAAATTAACTAAATCATAAATAAGGTTGTTTTACAAATAAAGGTAAATTATCATAAGTACCACCAAAATAGTTTTTTTTTCTTCAAAATTAACATTGTGTTACCAAAAGTTTTGCTAATAGCATAATTAAAAGGTTATAATGTATGTTAAAGCATATTATATATGGTCCTAATTGCATAAAAACAAAAACCAAGGTTGCTAGTTGCTACAACCTTTCTTGGCACAAAAAACAAATAATCAAATAGTGGTTTAGATGTGTTGTCATTTCAATTTCATTTGCTATCTATCCACTTTTCTAGTAAAAGCACAACTTTGAAAGAAAGAAAAAAAAAACAAACACACGAGCCACAAAAGGCCACACGTGTGAAAGTGAAACTTAATAAACGCACGCAGTACAAAAACACAACCACTTGTTTCGGTTTGGTCAAGACTGTAAATACAGACAAACTCCGAACCAGTAGTTCTGGTCACAGCTCTTGTTTCCACTCTCTCTCTCTTTCTCTCTCTCTTCTCGTCTCTAGGGTTTGGTCAATTTAGATTCAATTTCTTCTTAATCTCAATAACATATCTTTGTAAATCCTCTGTTTTTGTGTTCTTCATCTGTAACAATTAAGAAGAAATGGATTCGAATTCGTGGATCAGCTCTCCTTCTGTGTTTTCATCATCGTCTTCTTTACGGCGTTACCAATCTCGTTCAGGTTTGTGAAGAATTAGAGTAGATGGTATATATATGTAAAGTTTCATCCTTTGTTCTGATTTCACGGTGAAAAGATTACTTTTTTTTTGTGGGTGGACAGATTTGTGTTTGGGAGATGTGGAAGGAGAAGATGATTCGAAAGCAGAGTTTATGTGTCCGTTTTGTGCAGATGAGTTTGATATTGTTGGGCTTTGTTGTCATATTGATGTGAATCATCCTGTGGAGGCTAAGAATGGGGTAATGTTCATTCTTTATACATTGAGATTGTTCATCCATGATGATTCTTTAGGTTGCCTAGGTTTATGTTTAGGTTAGTTTTTGTTTCCAAATTCTAAAGCTTTCTTGAATTGGAAAAGGTTGCTTTTTAAATCAAGTGAGCATTGTGATCTGTTGTGGTTACCATTTGAATCCCTCTCTCTCTCTTGGGAATGTTACTGAATTAGAAGATTTGTATGATTATGTTATTTAGGTTCTCTTATGCGCCATCTTTGATGTGAGAACAGAGTGCTTGGATGTTTATATTAAATGGTTTGCTTTTGATTTGTTTAATAGGTATGTCCTGTCTGCACAAAGAGGGTGGGATTGGACATTGTTGGCCATATTACAACGCAACATGGGAATGTTTTTAAGATATCCTTATGAAATTTCGATATTCTCTTTAACGGTTTTAGTAGAGTTTGAGGAGTTGTTTTGTGTATTCCTTGACATGAGAGATTTTACGTGCAGCGAAGGAGGAGGTTGCGTAGAGGTGGATATAGCTCCGCCTACCTTACGCTTAAGAAAGAGCTTCGAGAAGCTAACTTACAGCCTCTTGGAGGGTCTTCCACTTTCACTCCTTCATCCAATATAGATTCTGATCCTCTGCTCTCATCCTTTATGTTTAAACCCCCTCCGGCTATACCCATCTCTGAAGAAGACTCGGTTGCACAAGTCTCACCTAAGGACACACCTATAAGGTATAGTTCATACTGTCTTTTAAAAACGTGTTGCTTTCGTTTGTTTTCACATTGCCTGGTTTTTGTCACTTCTTAACAGCAACGCACGACAAGTATCACTTTCAAACGAAGATCAAGAGAAGGCGAAAAAGAGTGCCTTTGTTCGGAGCTTGCTTTGGTCAACCATGCTTGAAGACAAGTTCTAATCTCTCTAGATATTTTACATTGTAATGATGTATCAAGAAATCATACATTAGTCTCAATGTATGTAGCAAAGCCTTGTAGTATATGTTGTAATCAGATGTTCCTGGGATATCTTGTCTATAATCAGTAAGAGTATGTACTTTTCGCTATAGTGAGAGCTTAAAAGTTCAGTATAAAACCTGTAAAAGGATTTGGTATATAAGCCAATGCTATGTTTCACTTCAACAATCAAATTGTATCACAAAAAGTGTTGCTTCTCAACATTACAAAAACACTCCTCGCAAATTTCACTATATGGGCTCCTCAAATCCTTATTCAGGGAAAAGCAAAAAACTAAGTATCAGAAGAAAAAGGAAGATTAGGCTACAATTCACAAAGCATCTTCTGAAAATGTAACAGCAGAGACTCTTAAATCGCCTGAAAAACACGCAAGAGTCTGGCCACTATTTGGTGGTTCTTCAGTGTAAGAGAGACTTTATATGTGAAGTAAGAGCAGCAGATAATGGGTCTTTTGATCAGACCAGAGCCAAATCGATGGTCAAGAAAGTATCTTTCATTTTCACCTCATTTGTGGGCTCTTAGCGGTGAAGAATCTGTAGTCCGGATGATCAACTTGCAGACGCTTGAGCCATTTTTCTGCAGCTTGTAGCAAAGAAGCGATCTTTTGGGACTCTTGAGTTCTGGTTTGGTTCCACACAGATACTTTCAGCTTATAAGATGCGAGTCCAAAAGTAGGCAACGGTAGCTTTGTCGTTCGTTCTGACTCACTGCAACCCACAGCACCTGATCCAATACATAGACAACACTGTGTAAGAGGTCACACTTGGTTGTGACTATCAGGAATAAGCCACGGTATCATGTTCACATGATTTCATAGGCTTTACTTACTTTGAGGAGGTGGTGTTGAGAGAGAATGGAACGTTAGAAAGCAGGCATCGAGATTTTGTAGTGTTGGACCAACCGGTATTCTGTATATTGGATACCTAACACACCAAAAGTTTACAAATTCAGCATTTCAAATCTGACTACACAGAGTAGTAATCTCAAGACTCACAAGAGGGTTAACATGAAACATACCAAGAAACAGAGACCCAACTAGAAGGAAGAAGATCACAGCTCCGGTATGTCATTAGCTCGGGAAATCTTGACGCGAGATCCGAGACCTGGTATATTTGAAAAATTTAGTAAAAATATTAAGTAAACAACAAAAAGAGCTGTCTTTGCTTAAGGAGGACATTTCACTTTGTTAGCCAGAGGTTCACGGCCAAACGGAGGTTCATACTCCAAGTACTCAAATAGTAACCGTCCCTGAGTATTGCTTATCTCAGTTTCTCCACTAGACAACGAGCCAGCAATAGATTGATCTCTCAGACTAACTCTATTCAGTTCGTTGACACTCAAGTCCACCTCATTCTTCAAAGTCTTAGAACGATTAGGCAACTTCTCAACCCTACTATTGCTGCTTCCTTCACTACTTCCTTCGTTATCCTCAACTGGATTTCTAAATAAAGGAACAATAATCAAAACCGTCAAATAGAAAAGACAGGAGAGCTCTTTCGTAATAATAAACCGTACGCATTTCAAACAACTAACCTAGGCTTCTTCAACGGGTCAACATACAACTGAATACCAGATAAGTAAGGCACATAATACTGCACGGTGGAATCAGAGTCACTCTCATGCATATCTAGAGGAACACCAGCACCATATGCACTCCATTCTGCAAATGACTCCCAAAGATCCTCCAGAATAAAATATGTATGGCAATCTGATTCACGGGTTTTAAGTTCCCACCTGCTCCTCTAAAATAAAAAACAAATCGCAGCGATAATCAATGCTCACAACAACACATCCTGCACTAAGTTCTACACTACTAAATCACTAGATAGTCCCAAAGCCTTCTCAATTCAACTCCAAAGTATAACCACAAGTCTCATTTAACTTACTTAGATCAACAATACAAACAAACTAATCAGAGACTGAAAACACAACACACTAAACAATCTCCAGTTCAAGCAGCCACAAATGAAGCAAAAAGATCCAAGAGATTTACCATAGGAAATAAACGGGCAGGTACAACAGGAGTAGTATGCTCCAAGAACCGATCCAAGTTAGACCCATCACTCTGAACCCGACTCGAACGACCCGACCCAGAAGAAGAATCAGATGAACCGGCACATACTTCCGACCCAGAAACAACAACCCGATTCTTACTACTCTCCGTCACACCAAGACCTTTCCTACTCCTCGGCGGAGGCATAGCAGCAGCAACAACAGTCACAGCCTTCCTCTTCTCCTTATCCATCAAAACCTCTTCTACTTCTTCTTCTTTATCATCACGTCGTTGCTTCTCCCTAATCTGTTGCTGCAATTGCGCCTCTTGCTGCATCCTCCGCATCGGAGGTGGATTATAAAACCGATTCTCACCACGGATCGCTGTACGTGCGATTGAAACTCCTCCAGAACCCGACATTGTTCCAAAATCGAATCGCTTCCAACAAAAATGAAGCAAAAAAAAAAAAAAAAAGTCAAATTTCTTCGTCCCCAGATAAAATAAAGATGAGAAGAGAGTTAAAGGATGCTTCTTTATGTAGTCTCTCGTTTGTTTTACAGTAAAGAGGTTGAGGGAAAACTAAAGGAAGTGAGTTTCTAGGGTTTTAGAGAGATTGGGGAAGATGAAGAAATGGGAAATTTTTTTTTTTTGATTATATTATTTTATCTATCACCAAAGAAAATTTTTATATAAATTTCTAGTGGTATACACTCAATTAATTTATTTAATTAAAAATTAAAACAGTGACTGAGTGAAAGCAAAAATAAATAATACGGGTGTGGCGAAAAGAAGAAGATGGTTGGAAAACGAAGAGGTGCGTGTGAGTTTGGTAAGCGAATGGTTTCGTCTCTTTCACGAAATTAACTCTTCGTTATTGGGTTGGGCTTTCTACAAAGGCCCAATAACAGGCCTTATAAAGAAATTAAAGCAGAGAGAGAGAGAGAGAATAACAAAACTCCTCCAATGAAACAAAATTTTCTTTGGTTACACATGAATGAAGAAATGAACCTGTACAAGATATATAATAATCTCACAAGCTGCAAATAACAATGGGGGTGATTTGGAACAGGTTGAATTCTACACACTGTGGTTTATTGATTTGGGGGGATAAAGAAAAGAATCTGACCTTTTTTTTTTAGCTATCTTAAAGAAACAAATATGAATCATGCTGAACCGAGGTTTCTTTGACTCTCTCATAAGGCCTCAGCTCTACCATAGTCACTATCGAAACTCTTTAGCTCGGGGCACGGTTCAGGGACTACGGAGTCTGAAGACCCGTCAACGTATGAGCATTGCCAAGAATCAGCAGGAGAATCCGAGTTCTTGATCGATAGAGAGATGTTCGATAAGATGATCGAGGTGAAAGGAGACTCTTTTGTTCCGAAGAAATCCCCGGCGATGCTTATGTTTTCTCCAACAATGTCATGTAATCTGATGTGACTCACGAGCGGGAAAGCATTTTCGTCGAAACCAGAATCCGGATGAGTGCCGAAGCTACCGTTGGCTAGAAATGCTGTACCAACGTTAACCATATGGATGTTGGAAATGTCGATTTCTTTCATGTAACCTCCTCTTCCTTTTGTTGTTCTAAAGGCGATCCCGGTTAACGAGTTGTATATGTGTGCATTGCTAACCTCAACATCAGATATGCCACCAGACATTTCACTACCAAAGGAAATGGAGGAACCAGAAGCTGCTCCAAGGTAAACATTTCTTATCTCGACATTTGCGGTAGGTCTTGCATACGAAATACCGTATTCGTCCCAACCACTTTTAAGGGAAATGGCATCATAGCCCATGTTGATGGTAGAATCTTGGATGCACACATTTTCCGAAGAATCTGAAAAAAAAAATATAAAACAAATAAATAAATAAACAGTTTAGAGGTTATAGGGCTGCAACAGTTGTTTCAAACACTTATTTCTGCATTAGCATACAATTGAAAGCTATATCGTTGGGATCATAACAACTAACCCGGGACAATGCCGACAGTATAAGGAGATTCTGGAGAAGTATTAGCTGTTACATTATGAATGTATACATTTCTGCAAATGATCAGTAACCAGAGTCAAGATTTTACCAAATTTTTCAAAACCAAAGGAGCTGCTACAATAATAAGAGAGACATTTTCAAACCGATCCTTACCTAGAATAAACTGAATGGATAGTATAAGCCGGAGCATTCAAGAACGTAAGATTTGAGACAAAAACATTTTCGGAAGAGACAAACTCGATGAGGTGAGGGCGACTGTGCTCTAAAGAATTAGAGTTATACCGATCCCACCAAACTAGGCCTTGTCCATCTATAGTACCATTATCACCTAGGACCGAGAAATATGGTACATAACGGTGAGTTTTTTTTTATATAGCATTAGCAAACAAAATCAAATGAAAGGATTAAATCATATGTATAACCTGTTATTATCACATCATGTAGCATATGGCCGTTTATCAAACTCATGTATCTCCTCCCTGGTAGATCAACGCCCTGTCCATACGACGGTAATGGATCCACGACTTGCCAATCGGATGGATCCTTCATACAGATTTTTGTTCCAGGTAAGAACAAAAAGAAACTAATACCCAAATGTTCTGAATATTCTGACTGGTGCATACTACATAGCTAGAATCACAGGGTGGTATTGCAAATGGAGCAAGAAGCCAAAAGCCACAATGCCTAATTCACCAAATTTGGGGTTTTCTTACATATCAAATCCAAGTGAATGATAAAAAGCAACATACTTTGATTCAAACCCATCAGGAGAAGACATGAATCTATAAAGCTAACCAAAAAGTTATACAAAGTAGTAAAGCCACAACAAACTCTAATCTTTACTCTCTAGAATGATCAAAACACACACAAACACAGAAACACATACCTGCGAGGCAAGTATGACGGCGTCTTTGTCGAGAAAGAGAGTGATGTGACTAGTGAGATTGAAACTACCAGTGAGCCAGCGTCCGGAAGGAACAAAAAGCTGAGCACCACCTTTATCGGCATAAGACTTAAGAGAGAAGACAGCATTCTGAAAAGCAAGTGTGTTCAACGTTTTACCATCTCCCACAGCACCAAACTCCGTAATTCTCATAATGTGTTCTCTCTTCTTCGGTCTCTGATCACATACGTTTCCTAAGCTTGTCGCGTGAATCAGAATCACACAGCTCAATGCCAGCAACAAAACTAGTTCCACCTGAAAGAACCAACCAATAAATCTTACTAAAGAGCTCCCAAAATTCAGATCCAAAAATTCGATAAATAAAAATTGGGTTCGGATTCTAATATAAAACAAAAAGGAATCATTTTTCAAACGGATCCAGTGAAATGAACAAGACCCAGAAAGCAAAAAAGACTGAATTGGATTCGAGTTCTCGTCTCAATCCGATAAACAAGAAATTTCAGACAAGAACAGCAAAGAGACAAGAGAGTTAAGAACTAAAGAAGAACGTACTTACTGGCATCATCATCATCTTTATTTGTAACACACAAATAAAAAAAGCTGTCAGAGTCAGTGAAGGGAACAGAGAATAAAGCAGAGGAAAGAAAAGAGAAGAACTTTTTCGCGCCAAATAGGAACCCGACAGTGAGAGAAGAGGCGAAGAAGAAGAGAGTGAAAGAAAGAAAGAAAGAAAGGAGAAGAGAAGAGTTATGATGACCACAGAGAGACCAAAGACACAGAAGAAGCTCTCTTTTTTTTTTCTTTTTCTTTTGATGATGATGATTGAGAAAACAGTAATAAAATGATAGAAAAAAAGACAAATTATTAGTATTTTTCATATAGTACAGAACAAAATTACATTAAAAAAAATATTAACGCCAAATGACAGCCTTTTTTATGCTTATTTACATTTTAAGAATTGATATTTAAAGAATTGAATCATATTTATAAGGTAGAAAAAAAAAAGTGGTAAATGAGAGATAAAGATTATAACTAATTTAATGTGTTATTAATTGTATTATTTATTTCCACTAATTTGTAATTACTAACCATTTTTGGCTACCAAAAAAATGAAGAATAATAGTAATCGTAACGTATTATCGCCGACAGATCTTCTCACCGGAGGAGAGAGAGAGAAAGAAAACGACATTTTTTGTTTCTTCTTTTTCGTTTTAAAAAAAAAAACTAATATCTTTTTTTTCGTTTTAACTCTCTTATTCATAAAAGAAAAATTTTAAAAATGGTTGTATGAAATAGATATTTTTGTCTTTTATTTGGAGAGTGCATGTGTTTGGTTTTATTTTTGTAATTTTTTTTCTTTCAGATAAGAATTCACTTTTTAGTGTTTGATATTTTCTTGGTTTTTTTGTTTTTATTATGTCTTTTTCATTGTTTTGTCATAGTCAATATGATGTCATGGGTTTACATGTCTAGGATTGGATAAAATAATTTTTTTAAATAGTTTGATTTGCTTTATTGTATAATTATTTCATATTTTAGATCTATGTAAATTCATTTTTGGTCATCATTATTTGATTTTTATTTTATATATATATTTTAATTTACTTATTTTATTTCAAAATTTTCTGAAATTTTGTTTTATCATAAAAGTCCAATTTTAATTTTATTGATTTGCGCAAAGTCTATTTGACATTAGTGTTAAGTTTTAATTTAGCCAATGTATCATTTAATTTGGTCAAAATACTCTACAATTGAGAATTTATTAGAATGAAATATAAATTAAAAAAAATTAACTTTCAGCCCAAAAAAAGAAAAAAAAAATTAACCATCATTCATGTACAAATATCATTTACTAAAATTATCCAAAATCCGTCGTAGACAAAAACATGATTAGTTTTTATCAACGATCCGTCATAGACAAAAACATAATTAGTTTTTATCAAGTATTTAGTTTATAATCGACGATGAGGGATTACGGTAAATTGAATTAAATGAATAGTTAGATTAAAGAAAAATATCACGGCTAATATTACGAGTATATATATGATGGTAAGATAATCTTTTTCTGAAAATATTTCTTATTATTATTTGATTAATAACTATTGATATTACTTTTCTGATCAAAATAATATATAATATTTAGGAATCTATCTTTAAGGACAAAAACATCCAAATATTGACAGAAATAAATTTTTTTTATTTTTTTTCCAAGATTATTTTTTTACATTTTAAAAATTATAGAGAAAAGAAGAAAAATACAAGAGAATTAAAATGAGTAAAGTTTGGAATGTAAAATACTAAATAGTAAATGTGGGAATATAAGAAAGGGAATTGAGTTTTGTGTGTGGCCTTGTGGGGGAGAGACTCAAAAAGCGCCATGTGCCTGACAGGGATCTTAGCTTAATGACTCATTTGCCAGCCTGTCACTTTTTGTCCTCTCTTCTTCGTTTTATGTTTTTTTTTTTTTGTTTCTATTTTCATTCCGTCAAAGTTACTGATATGATAGTTCAGTTTTGTTTTTCTTTTTTACATTTTTTATTTTATTACTTCAGATAGTTTCAGTTTTGTAATATTGTTCTTATAAGAGGTTTGTGACTTGCGCTGAAAGAAACATGGTATTAAGATGGTGAGTCTGTTCAGTTTTAGAGATATGATCAATGTAGGTTAGGAGAGAATCGCTTTTTGAGTTCATGGTACATGGCCTCAAGATCATACTTCTAGGCTTCAATGGGGTTTTTGGGATTCTCTGTCTCGATTTTGGTCCGCATCGATGGGTTCTTTACATACGCAAACCTTCTGTGTGCTGTCTGAGTACCTCAAATCAACCAAACAATGTTCTACTGATAGTAATTTCATAAAAGAAATGAAATGTTCTTATTAATGAAATCAAAAACCACAAACAAGAGATTGGTCACAAGACCGATTTTGAAACTAAATCCCAATTACTCATTATGTGCTTAATGCAAAAGGCCTAAAACGCCTTTTTGTTTTGCTTTCTTGTTTATCTGAAAGGAGGGAGAGAGTTGTCTTCAACAAACGGGACGAAATGTGATTCTTCCTTAAAAAACAAAAGATTCAAACGGAGAAGCTCAGTTTAGAGAACAGCGGTGTCAACCAATGCTACTGTAATCTTCTTTTCCAGTTCCTTTTGATCGATCCACAATGAACTCTGCTCATGTAGTAGCTTCTTTCTCTCTTTAATCTTCTCTTCCCTTTTTTTATTCATCATCTTCCAGACCTCTAGCTTCTCTGCTCTTTCTTTCATCTGCAGTTTATTCAACACATAAACCAGTCAATGACTCAAGCTTGGATCAGTTTTACAACTTAAAAAGAAACGCACTGTGACCATTACTGCTCTAAAGCTGTGACCAATAGACAAGAGGAACTTAAACTAGAATCAGAAACCTGAGAGTAGTATACTTCTCAATTAATTATGATTCAGTGAATACTACTTTGATAAGTGTGTATCTTTAAAATGTTTCATCTACCTATTGAACAAATGATGAAGCTTCTAGCTGATAAATTTCACTGCCCTCAAAAGATTTTCCCATTGAAAGCATCAAGATCCAGCAACAAAATATATCCTATCTGTGATTGACAGGTACAACGCCAAAGCTGTAACCAGATCAAGAACTAATACATATAGAGACCATGATGATTACAGAATGCGTAAAAACAAAAAAAATCCGCTTAATGCTAAGCAAAGATAATCTAAGCTCTTAGTCATACATTTCCATCAGCTCTAATCGAAAGTTTTCTTTTTAAATCACAAACACCCTCAAGCATAACTAAGAAAAATCCCAATTTGGTTAACGAGATGCCAGAAAAATCATATCCAGACACACCCTTTTCCCCATTTATCCAAAAATCATCTCACACTAATTTAACTAATTGATCAAACATCTCCACCCTGGTATCTCTACAAGAAAAAAGAACCGAGTACAGAGAAAGTAAACTCACCAAGGTTTGCCTAAACTCTTCATCAGCAATCTTACGCTCCTCAGCTCTAACCTTAGCAGCCTCAGCTTTCAACCGTCGTCTCTCCTCATTAGCAGCTCGTTCAGCCAACAATCTAGCCTCATCTTTACGCTGCTTCTCAACACGAAGCATCTCAATCTCATGAATGTACTCTTTACGATACACTGTAACTTTCTTTGCATACTCTCTCCTAAGCTTTGCAAGCTTCCTCTCTGCATCTTTGGGATTGTTAGGAGCTTCCCAGCTACCAATATAGCTTTCTGGCTCAAGAAAATTGTGGGTCTCTTGGTGGTGTCTATGGTGAGTGGCTTCAGCAGTGAAAGACCTGAGAGACCCAATCATGGAAGCCTTCTCACTCTGCTTCACGAGACGGCTTAGCTTATTGCAAAAAGCCATTTTTTTTTACTGAATCTGATTCTACACAAAGAAGATAGAAAATGAAAAACTCAAATACAGATTCAGATTCAAAGACACATACAGAGAATTCGAATGTTTCGTATTTTCACGATGCATCAACAATTAGATCCCTAATTGTAGGGTTTATGAATCGGAGACAAAAGTTAGGTTAATGTAAGGAAATGCGAAGGCATAAATTGGTTGAAGAAGCTTACCTTGGAGGAATGATTCGACGGAGATTTGTGAGAGAGAGAGAGAGAGAGAGAGAGAGAGAGAGAGAGAGAGAGAGAGAGAGAGAGAGAGAGAGAGAGAGAGAGAGAGAGAGAGAGAGAGAGAGAGGGAGA